GTTCAGGTAGTGGGGAGGTGGAGGTGGAGGTGGAGGTGGAGATATAGATCTGGCAGAGTCACGAATGTGATGATGTCGCTAATCACGTGATGGCAATGATGACATCAATGTACATTGGATCTTGCTGAATCACAAATATGATGAGTTGATATTAATGAAGATCTATTCCCATAACTTGACATTAAAGTTGTTGATGGGAAGCTAGATCCTAGTAATGGTCATTTCTAAGGTTTTTTTGGTTGTTGAATAGTCTGAGTGCAATATTATCATTGTTACCATTCATCTAAGAAATAGTACAATGTAAATTAAATTAATTAGAATGATCAATAATTGCAATCACCATTGTTTTTTTTTATTGTCATTAATATAGAAAAATATTGTACATTCATTAATAACATGGATGTATTATTTGGTACAATTCTGAAGAAGCTATGCTATTTTTAATAGCCAGAGTTATTTTTTCGTAATGATGACTTTCTATATATATATAAAATATCCTGATATTATAATGGAGTGAAATATATTGTTTTTTACATTGTATAGGTGATTATTCCTTAATAATTACAAAAAAGTCAAGGGTAAAAGGCAACGTAATTATAGAAAACTGCCCTTTGGCAATCCGTAAACACCAAAAATGATTTAATACGAATATTTAAAATATTACAATTATTCTCGTCTTCCTTGTGTACATTAGGCTAACCTGACTCCTAATGATTCAATGATGATGATCCAATTAATGGGAGCAAAGCCCTGAAACTGCATCATTGTCAAGGAGAGTGTTATAGCTTCTCTCTTGTCTGAAGCCCTCCAAGACGTCTGAATTTTTTCACCTGTGGGAGAAAACTCCAAGATTTGCAATTAGCTATTCGCGTAATGGGTCTCAAACCACCATATACAGTGAACATTCCAACTTGTTCTAAATACTTGGTTATTTCATCATCTTTTAAATACTGTCAAAGCTTTCTTTTCAAATTATTTGCATCATTATTATTATTTCTAGGAAAAAAAACTAATGATTGTTTTTCTTCCTTGCTTCTTTACATTTATTATTATTTGCATGTTTTAATAATAAATCGGATCATATCCTTTAATCTAATATGTTTACCATAAATGCAATATACTGTTTTATTTCACAACTAACCAATTCAATGTGCATAGTAAAAATTATTTTTAAAATTTCATTTTTACCTTTTTTGAGTACCAGTTCAACCTCTAAAAAATGTATTGTATAGAATTATGTCATTTCTTCGATTCATAACTTTTGATATAATAATATTAATATTTTCGGGCAAGTAATTCATCACTCATCACTTGACATTCACATCATTAAAATCAAAATCTTTGTATATACATACATACACAACAACTTTTTCATAATTTAATAAATAGTTGGGGCTTCCAATAAATTCCATTCGAATTGTGGATGATCAATTCGGGAAATAACAACAAAATCAAAATTCATGCCGTTTGTATTGGATGGTGTTCGAGGTGTCCATTGGCGATGATAATATTTGGACCAAGTGGGTTCTATCATCCAATTTTCGCCTTTGGAAACGTGACCCTGGAAATCAGGTTGGAATATGCCCTGGTTGGTAACAATGTTACGGATCAGATGAAAAGTTGGATGAAGATGAATTCTTTTACAAATAAAAAAACACAAGTTAAAATCATTTAAAAAATTATTCCATTATCTGGGTAATCAATCAGGTTTGGTTCGGTAAACCACCAGTAAGAATTTTCTTATTATATCAGAAAAAAAGATCGACTCTTTGATATGGAACCTTGGTTGTGAAGTAATAGATTTCGGGGATTAACAAAAGTAAAAGCTTCTGAATTATCACAATTGGCTCTTAAATTTGCATAAATCTTGCATCTGTAGAAAAGCTTTATGTAAATAGAATTTATTTGTTTAAAAATATCATTTATTTCAATGCTATTTATTGTATTTTGAAAAAAAAACCAGATGAAGATTAAAATCTGAAAAATTTTATCATAACAACAATTTCTATTCCACCTTATAATTATAGTATTTGGAGAATAACATTTTCTAATTTCTCCTATATCATTACAAAGTTAATGGCGTCTTTTTTAATAAAGCCCTTCTTTGATCAAATATCACATGTATCCCGGGTCTTAACCGCAACTTTGTAATTTATTTTTATTAATAGTATTTTGCGTAGTAAAACATGCATATGAAACATTTTTTCGAAATGAAAATGCTAACCCTGATTGTTCTCACCTTTTAAGATCATCAAGGCCAATAATTGCCTTCTTTTATTCTAATTTCAGAACGAATAATTCGTTTTGGATTTGCTTGATTTGCAAAATTATTGCGAAAACTTCGGCAATTTAACTGGTTCAAAACTTTTTTGAACTATTTGAACTTTTGAACCGTTAATTGGTGTAGGAAATTAAGTGTGGGGATTTGGTTACATTAAAGGTAACCAATAATCTATTGGCAAATTCGTACAACAAAGTTAATACTCGAAAAACATCTGAGAATGTTTAGATACTAAATTGGTTAATTAAGAATTTTGTGAAATTGTTGAAAAAGGAAAGCTCACGGAAGAGTGGAAACTCTAAAATTCTATCTGGATTCCTATAAAAATAGAGAAATGTATTTTATTCAATTGTGAAAATACATTTTGGATACAGATGAAAAATTTTATTTCAATTATCGATTACTAATACCTTTTTCCAAATGCATATGTTGAAAGAATGTTTTCACGAGCAAATCTGACAAAAAACAAATTGAGAAATAAATGCGTGCAGATACATTGAAAAGTAATTTAATTATTTTGCTAAAATAGTCCAGATATTAATTTGAAAATCATATGAACATTGGACAAATAAAAATAATAAAAAATAAATAAAATTTTATTATTTTTGGTGTTGATCAATTCAATCGGCGGGAACCAGCAGACTCTAACCAAATCTGGAAAACAGCCGCAGATAGTTTCTAAAATTAAACTAGTCTTATGTTAAGGCGCAGTTGAATTGGTGGATTAATAAATAAATGTGCGCGTTTTTATGTATATAGCGCGGCCCCGCATTTAATTTACTATCTATATGTGGCAATATTAAATTTTAGACATTGTTTATATTCAAGACTTGAAACATTCACTTTGTATATAAAAAACATACGTGTAACATAATTCTCGGAGATCTCCACTCAAAAAACATTTACTATACCCGGCTATTTAATTGACAGTTCAAAAGTTGAATGCCAACACCGGCTATTTATAACACATGTAAAAATAGCGTTATATAACAGACCTTTATACAAAGTTTATTATTCAATATTTAACATATGTATCATTTATCTTTATAAGATTTATATCAGATTGAGTAATTATAAAATGACATGTAAATTTATTATTCTACATGCAAATGAAAATATTGTTCTATCATTGACATTAAAGTTTTTCATTTATAAGATCAATTGTAGTATCTATTAAATTTTCCGCGAGTTCATTTGTGCTGCTATTATCACTGATACATCCATCAGGATCACTAGATACACAACAAATACTTTGTATTTATTACCATCTGTATTGAGAAAGTTTTTTATTAAGTCTTTCAATTCATCAGAAAACTTGTTAAATTTCTTGTCCAACTTTTTCACTGCTATTACAATTCAGTACTTTTTCATTGTATTATTTAGTATTTATACGACAATCATTTGTCCATGTTATATACTATACATATATGAAGCTACTTGTGTTGTAGTTGGTCTTCTGTTAGTGATGGTGATGTGATTGTTGATTGGGAATTATTGTTAGTCAAAGGAGTAATATTATTATTAGTTGGAATAATAATATTAGTTGATGGAGTAATGGTATTGATGGCTGGAAGAGTAATAGCATCATCATTGATTAATGGATTAAAAGCTGATTTCTTTGTCTTTTTTGCTTGAGAATTTTATAAATTATTTAAATTATTTGAATTATTTAATTGATATCCATGACTTGAAATTTCAAAATTTTCTCTGCTAAAATCACACAAAGCGTACCCGAGGTAAAGGAACAAGGTAAGCGGCAAGGGCACTATAATTACATGAAACATGTTTTGATACTGGTATACTCGATGCTGGCAATTGCCCCATCCAAAATCACCAAAAAATATGGATCGATTATACCGTCAACAGTCTCAGCTTGATTTGCGGTATTTGAATGCATTCTATAAGCACTCGCAATAGATTAATAAATCTGGACACTACGTGCCCAGTTCAGGATATACCCAATCATAGATCGATCGACGCGGTTATAGTCTGTCGTCACATATGAGACAGTCTAATCTAAGTATATTAATATGCATACAAAAAAAAATACCTGTTTTGAGAACCAATCGGGCTTTAATATTTTATGTGCACTATCAATTAATTATTTACAAATTAAATGTTTAGTTTATTAAAAAAATAAATCATTTATTACAAATTAACATTAACTAAATAATTAAATAAACAATTACTTTTAACACTATTAATTAGTTTTTTTTTGTTCAAAAAGCTATTAGAAGGGTGGAAAAGGTACCCGGAGAGAAGGGGTGAGGGTAGGGGGTGAGAGAAGGGGTGAAAAGGAGTGGAGTGAATATAAAAATGATTGTTTAAAAATTAAATAAATAAATAAAAATAAAAAATTTTAAGTGAAAAATATTTACATTGAAAATTGTTTATAATGAATGTGATGAATAATATACATATATATATATGTATATATATATATAACTAACTGTATATATAACAATAAACGAATGTTCATTTTTTTCTAGGTTATCCCAAGATAACCCACGATAATAATATAATATAATCTACTCTAATCTACTCTAAGCCAATTCCTATATTTATTTTTTTCTATGCTCATCATATAAGCAATTAATATAATGGTTTTTTTGAAAAAAAAAAATTTTTATAAAAAAGAATGTCTATTTTTTTTTGTTGGCAAATTAAAATTTATAATTGATGAGGAGTAGGGTAATCTTGAAAGTATTATTATCATCAATTAGATATTCCAGGCGAATTTACGAGCAAGGCGTGGTTTGGATAATATGATATTTTTGACAAATTGTAATTTCTCAACATCACTTTGGAATCCTTCTAACTTTGTGGCTAGGCTAGTAGTAACATTTTCACCATTCTAACGAGGAAAAAAAAACCAATAATAATTTATGTGAGAAAAAAGAAGGAAAATAATTATAATCATGATGATGATAAAAATAAATATATTATAATCATAAATACCTTGTGTTCTTCATATTTAAATATTTTGTGCAGGCGTGATTTTGTTTGTTCAAATGTTTCCCTGGTAACTTTTTCTTTGAATTCACGAGACATGCGACTTGAGAGTAAGGTTGGAGAGGAAGCAGTCTCGGGAGATGAAGGAGGGGTGTATTCACCGGATGAAGAGTAAGGAGATGATGTATCACTATCACCGCCATTTCTACTACTTACATTTGATGATGTCGAGCTAGATGAGAATCTGCTCGTATTTATCTTGTGAAGTTTTGGTTTCTTTGATATTGATAGTGGTGTGGACTTTTTAATTGATGATATTATTGATGATGCTGGTATCGTCGTCGTGGATGTGACTGATTTGATATTATTGCTGCTATTGTTAGCAATGGCAACATTATCCGTGGAATCTTGTTGTATCATTCCACGTGCCTTCATTTCTCGTGTAGTTATTTCAGCTAAACGCTTGTTTATGTACTTGTGGAAGAAAGTGCCAGCACTTGCAAGAAATGCGTTTACTTTTACGTCACATTCAGGATACTCGATTAAAAAGTCGTGTAAATCTTGAATTCCCTAATAATAATGAAAAAAGGAAAAATTAAAAGAAGATTAAATAAATAAGAGAAGGAAGGAATTAACAGTTTTGGTAATAAGAAAAAGTATGTTTAAACAAATATCTTACTTGTTGTGCTATGTCAAGCTGGCCAATTTTCGTAAATATTTTCGTTAATCTCACGTTTATTTCCCTTTCATTTAGTGAAGGAGTTAAAGTGAGTGATAAAGTAGTTGTTTTATTATTTTTATTATTGCTGGAAGTGAATAATGATGTTTTTGTAATGGTTTTGCAAGCCATTATTTTTTTGTAGAGTAAGAAAGAAAAGATATATAGATAGGGAGAGAAAGAGAATAAAGAAAAAAGTGCAAAGAAGAAATAAAACCGAAGAGAAGACAAAGTAATATAAAGAGTTAAAGAATTAAAAAAATAAAGTAATAATAAAGTAAATAAACATAAACATAAATATAAATATAAATTTAAATTTAAATTTAAATTTAATTAATTATCAAATAGATCACAAATAAAAATGATTAACAAGAAAAAATTTCAAGTCGTTGGTTCAAAATATTTTTAATTATTTGTACAAAAAATAATTACAAGAAAATGTTTGGAGAACTGTTACTTTTATACATTTAACAACATTCATTGCACAATATTTTTATTTTTGTTTATTATGAATTTATAATAATTGGAAAAAAAAACAATATAAATAAATGAACTTAATTGATCACAACAATATCAAAACATTCCATTCATATTAATATACTTGCCCTGTTATCATGTTATATAAAATAATATATATACAATTAAATTAAATGCAACTCGATTAAAAAATAATTGATTGTCAATTTTTTTTTACAATTTAAAATTTACAAACTTATTTGTCTCTACATTTGTTTTACATTTTTGTACAAATCCCAAACTTACAGCATATTGTCATACCATTGTATTTTTATGCTGGCTTATTCCAAATCCATCAAATCCATATATGTCTTTGTGCTACATCTAATTTACCACGAGTCGATATAGCGCGCCATTATTTCTGTGTAACTAAAATGTGATTGGATAATTTCTAATTTGTAACGCATCCCAAAATTCAATGCCCGGAATGGCCGCATTCTAATCAAATATGGAAATTATCTGCAGATTGTCGTGAATGATTAACAAATTTGTATGTATGGCACAGTCGAATTTTACATACGGCGGTGATGATACGGATAATCATTTATTACCCCCGAAACCTCAATATAACGACTCCCTTTTTATGAATTGTCGCGCGTTTTTTAGATTTTCTCTGCATTTAAATTACTTTTTTTAGAAGATTACAAAAGGAAACAAAGCGAGAAAATAATAATAATGAATGAATGAATTCATATTTAGATAAATTAACCGTTTTATTTTTTATGTTTTAAAAATTATGACGATGGAATTATGTAATGTGAAGATAATAATTTCTAATTAATTAAAATATTAGGTTTATTGTATTGTTAATCTGCTACATATGCGTAAACAGATGTACCAGTAATTGATTGACCGATTGATACAAAATACTTTACTTTGATGATCTTTTTTTTTTCCTTTCGTCCAAATATGTAATTATTTAAAGATTTTTTTTAATCTTTTACAAAAAAATTTAAGCTTTCTGATTTCTAATCAATCTCAAATTCATTAAATTATTTTAATATTATTAACCGATTAAATCTCATCATCTTAATTTTTAAATCAATCTTCCTCCATCATTTCCATATTCTCTTCACTCTTTTTCTATCATTTCCTTCTATCCTCTCTCTCTTCATTTTTCTCTCACACACAAATAATACATATACACACACACACACACAAAACTTTAAATTAATCCATTAATCAGCTATAAATAACATATTTACATTTACATCCATCAATCATTGACATACATCCATCAATCAATTCATTTTTATCCAAAATAAATAAAAATAAAAATATTTTCTTACAACTTTCGTTAGTGATTATCGATTGAATTTATTTGCTAATAATAGTTGTTGCAATCAAGTTTTTAAGGTTTTTTTAATTTATTTTTTTATTTTTATAATTATAATAATTATTTCGAGGGAATTTATGTAGGGAAATTTTTTATGTAGGAGAATAAAAAGACAAAAAATAAACGTGTAAAGAAATTTTAAAAATACATCTTTTGGGGAAAAAACAGGTTTCTATTAATTTATTTATATTTTTTAGCTGTCAAAAAAAAATTCAAAAAAAAAATTCAAAATGATGATACACAATGTCATGACGATATCTACATATATATATAATAATGTATATATTTGTGATGATTCATTCATTTATTTATTATAACAATAACGATAATAGCAGGCATACTAATAATAACAACAGATGACCCTAATGATAATAATAACAACAATATTATTGTTATCACTATTACAATTACTATTATAAAATCGATCATAAATAAAATAAATAAAATAAATAAAATAAATAAATAAATAAATAATGTTGTTAATGAGTCCAAAAAAAAAATTATTGTTGCCGATCAGTTAAAATTTTTCATTTTTTTTTTTTTTATGCAAGAAATTTTTTCCTCTAAATTTTTTTTATAAAGAAGTTAATAAATAAAATAAAGAAAATAATAAAATAAAAATAAATAACAACAAAAGAAATAACAATAAAAAAAGAAAATAATAATAAAAGAATTAACAAAAGAAATAATAATAAAAAGAATGAATTCAACAAAAAAATCAAACTTTTGCTAACATCATCTCGTTAATTGATTGATACCTTGAAATTATTATACAGTTACCACTACTATATCAACTGAAAGATGATGACGATAATTTCATTGTCATTCTATAACAGGAACTGTAGTTGATTTGGGTTCTTTAAATAAAGTATTTTTAAAAAAAATTATTTTAGAAAACGATATAATGTGCATATAATTGTAAAATAATCATAATAATCACAATTATTACTTGAAATAAAAAAATGCAACTTTTTATATCATAAATCAGGTTATGATACAATATGGAAAAATCAAATTAAGGACAGTGATGTAATAAATAATGGGCGAGGAGGCGAAAAGGAAAAATGAGGAGCAAAGAAGTAAAAGAACTACGATTATATCAACGACGACGACGACGACGAAGACGACAACGACGACAACGACAACAATTTTTTTCAAATATTTTTTGTGAAATACTCGAGTCATTCATTATGCATGTGAATTATTAAAAAATTCTGTGAAATGTGCATTGGTGGCTTTTGATGCATAGCATAGCATACTATACTATTACTATTATTCATTATACAACTACTATTAGAGTGTGAAATGCTCTTGGGAATTTTAACCATTTTCTTGATTTAGATCTTGTTTGTTTTGTTTGTAAAACAAGATAATTTTCTCTAATATTGGTATGGAAAAACCTAGATTTCATTTATTTATACAATTATTTTAAAAATTCAAAAATCAAAAAATCAAAAAATTCTCATTTTTCAATAATGAAAATAATGAAAATAATAGATCAAATTAATCTTGTTCGACAACAGATGATAATGATGCTAATTTATTACAAGCGCACAAGTGATATTTAATTGAAGAAATTTTCACTAGGTCAATTAATAGAAAAATTATGGATTTAATTTCATACGAATTTTTCATGGCGCTAGCCGGAACAGCATGGAGAAAAACATATTAGATAATTTTTATTTGTGCAATATTATTACAACCACACTTTAATAATAATGTTTACTTTAGGAAATTTAAATGTAGGAAGCTCTAAATAAATTTATTTTCACTGTATTCGTCAAGGCTTTCTTCTTCTTTTCAAATAAAATCAATCGTTGATATTAAAAGTCTCCTTTCATAAAGCAATATATATATATATATATATCGCATTTGTTTATCATCATTTGTTATATGTAAATTTTTATGATTCTACAACAATTCACCTATTGCTATATAAAGACCTAATTCTAAATTAGGGGATCAAGCTTGCTAAAAAAATAAGATAATGTTGATAACGAACTATTAAAGATAAAGAATAACAATAAAAATTTTTAATTATTATCAATTATGGTTTAAACCTTGATGATATAATAAAAATAGATTAATATAAAGTTTCCCGGCTATTATTTAAATAATTATTTTCCTTCGTTTTTTAATCATGGAGAATTTACAAAATGGAATGAAGCGAAAATTACTGAATATCTAGAAATAAGAGAAAAAAGATAGTAAAAGGTTTTTATCTTCACCTTCATCCTCTACCTCACCTTTCACTCACTTGGCCTTCCATTTCCCTGTGCTATAATTTGTAAAGTTCTTCCTTTCTTGTTTCCCGACGTGAATTTGCATATTCGCTATTTCCAAGTATATATTTGGTAGAAAGTGGAATGGTTCCATCCTTTCTTCTATATAATATTTCTTTACAATCAGACCAAGTGTGTGTCACGAAACTTTAAAGTAATTTATTGGAAGACACCATTAGGTGTCGAAGTGGCCTAAAGAGCATTAAATACATCAATAAAATAGTGTACAATATGTGTATAATCTACGTAAATTATTGACAATTATAGGGTTTTGCATAAAATATATGTCCTTGCAAATATTCCATATTAATATATTTTATTGACAATTACATGAGAATTGTATTATGAATATTTCACGTATATTTTTTCCCGATATAGCTTGTCTAATCCATATTTAATATACCATCAATTAAACTGGTAAAAAGCTTCATTATCATTGTTTCTTTTTTTGTTCTACTAGCATAGATTTATATAAATAACTTAATTCAATTATTTTAATATGTATTATACATTTATACATGTGTATATTGTTCAAAACAACAATAATAAATAAAATAATTATTAATAATTTCTACATTGCATCTCCAAAGCTTCTTGTGTAAACAATGCTTCACATCAAAATCTATCTTGCATATCTTGATAAAATTCACGTTTTTTGTGCTTGACAATATGGTGCGAAACCTTTTATAACCACACAAAACCTTTTATCACCTTCCTAAAAAGTATAAAATCTAAGAACTAGTGATCCAATTTTAAAGTTCGATGGGGTCGCGCAATGTTTACATCAAAATTTTGGCGCCTAATTTTTTGGCTAAATTATGAAATTATTGGTGCAGATCTTTAATGTCCACCAACACTTAAAAAATTTTTTTATTTATACGTAATTCTTAACATTATTTCATATATTGTTATTTATTTATTACCTTATTTTATTTTATCTATCTAATCAATTTAATTATATTATTTAGTGCTTTATCTAATCTAATACTTCTATTTTGTTATTTTCTTCTCCCACTTATTATTACTAACCTTAAAAAGCAATCAAACCACCTTGCTTGCTTGTGAAAAAAAATAAATTTTCCCAATTTTTTTTGGTATATAATTTTTGACCAAAATCACATCTGCCATTTAAAATAATCAATCTGCTTGAATTTTCAATCTATTAAAATAATAATTGTTTTTATTAATTTATAAATCAATTAAATGTTAATTATTAATTAATTAATTGCTGCTGCAATCAACCAAGTTTCCATATCAATCTTTTTTATGACCAGGATTGTTGATAATATCAATCCATCATCTCTCAACATTAATCTCAATATCACATCAATATCATCAAAATGATTCCAAACTGCTTCTAAAAATCTATTCTTGCATAAAAATCTGGATCCTTTGTAGTTCTAAATTAATATTATAATTAATATATTTTGTTTATTTATTAGATGATAATATTTCACCATAGAAATGAATAATTCATTATGATCAAACAACCATTTTCATGTAATTAATTCAATTACTGCTTGTCTTTGACAATATAATTTTATCATACTGAAACCACTTGGACATCTAATTATTAACTGTGGTAATTGAGTGAGTGACAATTGAAATGTTTGTTAAATGAACAAATAAATCTAAATTCAATAATAAATTTAGTTTATTTGTAACAGAATTGAGAAGAATACATTTGAAAACCAAATCATCCTTAGTGAATGAGTGACATCATAAATTAGCAAAATGATTATAGGTAGAACCATTGAACTTGTCCATGCTATTCTTAACCTCTTGGCTTGAAGGTCTTGGAGATACAATAAATCTTCCAATTCTTAAATTAAATAGGCAGATGTAGGTTATAACTACCAGCAGATTTTTATTTATTTCACCGCCAGAGATCATTGTTCCTGCCAAGGAAATTTGTATAGGTGTTAAAAGGGATAATTTTGTTAAATCTGACAATTCACTTTATTTTTTTGGAAATGGGTTTCGAGGAACTCTAACTGTATACAATCGGAAAGGAAACAAGTAGCGATTTGACCACTAAAGCTTTTCCACTACCACTTGGATGACCAGATGTTGGAACCGTTATCATAAACAGAAGGGAGGCTCAGATTAAAATTCAACAGAAATATCAAGTATTTATTTTCCAACTTTGCCAAATTTTCCTTTAAATTTTTATTTTTGCATAATAATATTGTTATTATTACTTGAGCAATTGCAATTATCGGTAGGGAGAAATTCAGTATGATATAACTCTCAAAGATGAGATGGTATGGTATGGCCCATACCAAGTCTATATCAATTAATCAATTATAGTTTACTAAAAAATAAATAATTAATGTATTATGAACTCCAAAACATTAAAATCATCAATATCAGAATTATTTTATAATATGTTAAATAATGCCTTTTTTTCAACCAAGCTGGCGTGTGTGTATCAAACTCTCATTCTTTTGTCTGAGGATTCAGCATGACAAAGTTCTAAAAAACACCGAATCTGACCTATAGTGTACATATCCAACAATGAAAAATGACGTTACATGTGAAAAGAGAAAATTTTGACAACAACGGATTTAATTTTCCTCAAATCTTTTTCGAAGAGGTAACATTTTTGTCTCACTTTTCTATAAATAAGCTGTGATGAGTAATTCCGAAGAGAGGAAAAAGAAAAGGCATCTATACTATCACGAACAATATTGCCTTGCAATACTTCGAAGAGAGGAGGAAGTTTTTTGTACAGAAACTGATATCAAACCTTTCCATCAGACTTCCAATTAAAATACTTTCATAAGAAAAATTCTATATGTAAAATTTAAAAAGTACCCTTCTCATATAGTACCCTTCTCATATTAATTATTCTCGGGAAAAATAAATCATTTTTCAATATATTGTCCTTTACCAATTTTTTAGTATTCGTTAATTTAATTTTACAAAAACGACAAAGTGCATAATGACCAACTGTTAATTAGTATTGAGTGGCCTTTTCAGCGAGAGAATGTTGTTCCAGTTGGACAACAATTACATAGATCAAACCGAATAGGGTATTTACTAACAATAGTTTTGATTATCAGGTCGAAACCTGTTATATATTATTTTCTTTATTCAAGAAAAACTATCGTTAAAATACTTTATCGACTATCTTTGATGACGTTATCAACTAAGTCTACTATTGTACCTTGTCAACTTGGTCGATTTTGTCGTTTGTCGACTCTATGATTTTTTTTTTTTTAAATGCGATAATCTTCATATCAAAAGTTCCATTCAACTTTTGCAAATGTAATTTCATGAAATTATTACTAATTTCGCCAGTTTCAAGAGAATATATGAATTAACAGAAATAGCTTCCATGTCTTCACTAGCAGACCCGTCAGAAATTTACTCAATAGTTAACAAATCCATATTGAAAAGTGAAAAGAATAGTGGGCAAAAAATTTATAAAAGGATGTTTTTAGTATTGAGGCAAATAAGAAACGAAGCAGGTAAAAAAAAAAAAAAAGAGAATGAATTAATAATAATTAAAGTATTTTTTCTCTTGCTCCAGTTCTATCTCTAATAATGCTTCTTGCGTTTTCTTTTTCTTTTTCTTGAGTTGTTGTTGCGATGAACTTTTAGTGATTGGATGTAACACAGGTTCACCCAATCCCTAGTACTAACTTTGTCGATAACTTGTTTCCTCATTTGAGGAAAACCGTGAATCGGTTTAAATGAAGCTGTTTATATCAAAATAATTAATCGAATGATATTTAACTTGTTCCTAACGGTGTTGTTTTCTCTTGCTCTTGTTTTCTAATAACGCTCACTGATGTTTTTCTCGAATTGTTGTTTATTCATTTTTTTTAAAAAGTTTCTAATAACGGAAAGTTATAATGATGAATAGCTGCGATAAACTTCTTAAAGTTCTCAAAGATTAAAAAATATTGGGTGCAAGAGAAAAAAATCAATAATTTTTGTAAACTAGATAAAATAATTCATTAACCGGATCATTCCGAACATGTATAATCGTCGTCATGATTATTTCATAAGTTCTTGATTATTTGTTCATATCATTCATTACATTTATAGTTGAATTATTTCAAAATTAAAAGTATAAAAAATGCATTCACCAATAAATTCTTTGAAATGACATCTATTCTACTTGGAGTGCTTCGTGTAATAATAATAATAAATAATACAACCAATTATTATTATTATTAAAAATTTTTTTTATTCTCAAGGCAAACAATTATACAGTTAACATCTCTCCAGCAACCAATATTCTTAATAAAAGTGATTTTCCTACGTCTGTTCCAACAAAAGTTCATCATTTAAAAATAGTATCTTCTTAATGAAGAAAGACATACATAATAGCGCCTGTAATACTAACAGCACAAAGGTCAAAGATTTTCGAATGTCGAGCCTGCCACCAAAAGGGCTCTTATTTTTTCGGTGGTTAGAGAGGTTGGTAGCTATCAAGAAAAATTGATAATTCTATGTAAACCATAGAATGGAATAGCATAAAAAATAATACATTAGTGACAACAAGATATGAATTGCTTGTAAACGAATTTGAAGATAATGAAGCATCATCCACATCTACATCCAATAAAAACACAGGCGGAAAAAACAAAGTAAATCGGCACTTTCTTATCATTTGATATGCATTTATTTTTTATATGGTAATTGATTCATCAATAAAAAGAAATCTATCTCTAAGCTAAAAAAAAACAAAAAAAAAAGATGATAACCTACTTCAAGAGATGAATCGTTAGAATCGTTAAATACAGCCAAAGCTCATTAAATTCATAGGTTTGGCATGGTGAATTTTATTAATTGATCGAGTTATGCCAGTATCGAAAGTCAATAAAATTTATTAGTTGAAATAAATTGTCATTCATCTGTAACAAGGTGAGAAAATTGCAAATTAAATGATACTCGGATGCTTAAAAACTATCTAAGGAAAGAGTAAATAGTTATGAACTTTATCAAGAAGTAAGAAAACTATAATCAATAAAGAGTACTAGCACAAAACCATGAAGAGCTTTAAAAAAACAAAAGCAGAAGAAAAATAATTTTCTGTCAACTCGAGTTAATTGTCAACACTCTGTGCTGGTTTTTGACCTTTAAAGTCATTTTTAACGAATGGACAAATATTATTATAAAGGTATTCCTCCCTCTTATAATCCAGAAGAGGACTTCAACAACATCAACTCGATCTGTCCTGCGCCAAATTATAGAGCTAAAGAAGCATGAAAATCAAATAATAGACGAGAGTGAAACTCAAAAGGAAATAATCAAGGAAATAAACAAATCAATATATAGTCGAAATGAATGGGATAATCAATATATAATGTATGAAAAATGTAACAAATAGATGGGCCGACAAATGTGGAAATGCTAAGTTTATTTATGATCGCAAATGGTTTTATTAATGGATTCCATTTAAAAATGATAAATGTCTAGGCCAGTCGGATATTCATGTGTTTTCAAGAAATCGTGTAGTTTGTCACAAATTCAGGCCAACTTTTTTTCCTAGAACTTGAAAATTTTAAAGGAGAATCCGGATTTTAAAATGCTATTTCCAATTTTTTTGGGGACGAATTTAATCGATGTCAAAAAAAATAATGAATATGGTATTTACTAACGAATGGCTTTGGATTGTTTCTCAGGTCAAAACTTAATATTATTTTCATTTGCTCAAGAAAAGTCATTGTAAAAAGTACACGGAATTCGGGCTATTTATATGCATGATGTTTCATTAGAGGACTACTTTATCGACTTTGATGATAATGACGTTGTCGACTATGTACTGTACTATTGTACCTTGTCGACTTGGTCAATTTTGTTGTTTGTCGACTCTATTACCACGTAAAATAACCAATACTAAATAACATGCGCGTCGAAATACAATGTAAAATATTAATCAATAATTAAATTAATGCGTGCTTCAAATAAGTGATATTTAAAAGGTTACACATGAGTTTTTATTGATTGAACACATTCATTGTATATAAAATAAGTTCTAATGGATGAAAATTTTCCTATTATCCAATATGGACTATTATTTTCTCTTCCAAGAATCTATTCCTTCTCTATTCAACCAAAGCAAGCAAATTAAATCAAGTTTCTTGAATCTTATCTTGCGAGAAATCACATTATTTTCACTCCTTCCATTTGTGAGTACGTCCATTGTCGACGAAAATTATAAATCCGAAGATGATGTGTATGATGCAATTCTCAACACATTCTTTCCAGTATTTTTTGTCGTTCTATTCAATGTTTCAGGAAAAGCTGGACTCATCAAAATATGCTGTTGCCATTACTGGATGACATGTTATACAACACAGTCACTTGGGTGATTCCGCTGGTAGTTTCTTTGGCTTATGATGATTTGCTGAGTATAAAGATATTTTCACTCGTAAACATGGGTTTGCATGTAATTGCCGCAGTAGGCGCGATAATTAAGCATAAAAAAGTTCAAAGTCATACCAATTATCCTATCGTTTTTTTTTTGATTATTTTCCCAGCCATAGTCATTCCAACATTCTGGATTGTTATTATTATAACTAGACATCTTTTTGATCCAATTAGTATAGTATTACTTACATCATTTGTGATATTGTTAGCTACAATATTCATTTATTTTATACCAGCTTGTCTTAGTTTTTACGACTTTGAGGGAATAACAAGTCGAATACCTAAATTGATTATATCCTCGATGGTTTTATCTCCCGAATATTCTGCAAACATTATTTATTGTGTTAAAATGGCCAATCGATTTTTACTTTGTCAAGGCATGCATATTTATACTGATGGCCTTCTGGCTACTTCAACAACAATGACTCAATATTGGTTGCGCAGATTAATAGACATATAGCTAAAGGAGTATAAAAATCTAATAATAGGTGAAAGTGAAACTTTAAAGGAAGAAATCAGGAAAATGAACCAATCAATGGCCGAAATGAAAGAAACTCAAAAGGAAGAAATGAAAGAAATTCAAAAGGAAGAAATGAAAGAAATTCAAAAGAATGAAAGTCAAAAGTATGAAACTCTAAAGGAAGAAATGAGATCAATGGCTGAAATGAACAAATCAATGGCTGAAAGGATGGACAGAATGGAAAAATCAAGATATAATGGATGAAATTGTGTATGAAGAATGTAGCAAATATATAGGCCATAATGATGATAATACTGGTGATTTAACATCAGTTTCTTTTGGAAATGGCTATTATGCTGGGTGACTTCGTCACTAACGGTATATTTACTTACTATTCCATTACATACATCATTATATATAGTGTTATTTAATAAAAACATAGTAATAACTTAACAATATTCCCATAAAAATTTAATTGATCATCCGAACGAAATAAACTTTTTATAAATTTTTTTTTATGTATTGATGAAAATATGATTATAATAATGATATCATCGTCGACGGCAGGATAAATAATAATAAATATATAGCATCTCCAAATTCGACGCTACCGAATTTGTGCATTCAAGTAATCAATATTTAATTTGGGATGTTTGGGTGGCTCCTCCTCACCAACTAACTGTTTGGTTGGATAAGAAAATAAGTCTAAAAAAAATTTCGTCTCTTCATCAGTTCAACCCTTTTTCTTCCTACCAATCAATACTTGTAACACCAAAACATGCTTGGCTACTAACCTCTCCGAATAAAGGATTATTTTGACCAATTAGTCCAAATGATATTGATGCAATTATTTATTTATTGACCTTTTTTTTACACTGTAAATTTAAAAAAGATATGTTAATTGCGTTTTTTGAAAAAAAGTTCACTCATGTATAAAAACCTCGCTATTGATTTTGCATAATCTTTGTTTTTTGAGTTTTGTCAGGTTCATATTTCTTCACTAGTTAATAAATGATAATCTGCTAATACTTGGGCCAACTATTGATAATGATATATAATTCTTCATAATTCAAAGAGTTAAAATATATTTTTTCTGTCGGTGCATTTACTATTTCAACTATACCATATTCTCACTATGCATGTGGTAGAAATAAGTTGATCACTTGACTCAATCAGGTGACTTTCGACGCGATTAAAAATTGAGATTGAGGATTGAGTTAAAGTCAAATTAATTTTGACAACATGTATAATTCTCAGATTGTACCTTTTGCCATTGGCTTGATTGTGTTAGTATCTGTTTCTTTGTCACCTCCGTGATTGTGGATCCTAGCACCACCAAATGAATGTTTGTACTATTATAAAACTCTTCTAATGAAACCCAGGTGTCATTATCAAATATATTAGACTTGAGAACTCGACAAAATGCTCAAAGTGCTGCCAATACCGCAATCCTGGGGAGAGTGAGGTGTTGAAGGCGTGCTGTGTTTCTTGAATATAATTGTAAATTATATTAATTTTTTATTTGTTATCGTTATTAATGTTAATGTTAACAATGCCATTACAGTGAACCCTCTATAAGTGCACCCCCCTCGGGAACATAGTGCTATTTCTTGTGAGCGTGCATTTATGGAGGGTGTGCATTTATGGAGGGTGATTTTATAAGCTCTCTATAAGCTTGGGGATGAGATGGACCGTGCATTTATGGAGGGTATACATAGTGCGTGCATTTAGGGAGGGTGCACTTAGGGAGGGTTCACTGTAATTAAATATTTCCGTTTCAATGAATTTGTATTTAAATCGCGTTACGAATTTAATTTATTCGTAGGATTTTAATAGTAAGCACTAATCGCGTTATAATGAATTCACGTGATATAAATTTAAAAAAAATGCGAAAACGAACAACAAAAATTGTTCCAAATAATAAAAAAGGCGAACGCTAACAACAACAATAAAATTGTTTAATTAAAAATAAAAAGATAATACGAACAATAAACATCAAATCCAGCAAATCTGTATAAATAGAGATGAAATTTGCTTTATCAAATTCTTACAATTATGATGATTGTTGTTGTTGTAACATTTTTAATCGTAAAGAATTTAAGAAAATTTTTAATTGCATCATCATCCATTAAAAAACGCGTATATATCACTGCTAAGGTTGGGTGACGAAAATATTTTGGAGTATAAAAAGTACTTCGTCAAATGAGACACATGTACGAAATGTGACGAATGTGACGAAATGTGACAAAGGGTAAAGTCAAAAGTCAAAACTATGATAAAGATGACAAAATTATAAAATTTTATTTTATTTAGATTTAATAAAACAAAAATTTAATTTTAAACATTTTTTTACATTGTAAATCAAGTTTCTTAGTGGATACTTAATTTTGTACGCAAAGTTGTAGTAGGAATAGCTGCTTCACATTATTTCTGGTTTCATAACTTTCTTCAAAATTTGTAGAATCATCTGATGATTCTGATTGTTGAAATGCTTCTTCATTTACTATTTTAATGAAGTGTAACCATACATCAGACACAGGACGTCCTGTAGTTAATTCTTGATTGTTGTTAAATGAACTTTCAGATATATTATCTGATTTAATGTTTGCAAATTCATATTATATGATGATGATTGAGAAGGAATTGGTGAATTGGGTGAATTAGAGTTTGGCATCATGATTTTATTTTTTTCAATTTACTCCATAATTTAAAATCTACAAAATAATTGGTTTATTTTATTGTTTTGTTGATTGCGTCACTTTGTCATTTCGTCACCCAACCTTGATCACTGCTGAACAAAAATGCAATTACGTTTATTAAAAATTACAACGAATTTTAGTGATCAGCCATGAAACGATAAAATAGTGAAATTTTAAACCCTTATAACTTTTGATAAAAAATCTGGCCGCAGCAAATTGTTTAGTGTAATTATTCTTTTTGAATTTATCGCCCCGAGGAGCAGATATATATCCTTTTGATAAGCAAATAATAGTTGATGTCGTCCACTATACAGTCAAATTCATAGGTCTGTCACAGCAAATTTTATGAGTTTATCGAATTATGCCATTATCGAGAGTCGATCTTTAATTTCATGATACAATGAGAATAGGAAATGTATGACTTTATAGAGATTTTTTCTATAAAAAGATAAATAAAAAAATTTATTGTAATTATGAAAATTTTTCGATTATTATTAGCTAAGTAATAGTAGTAATAGTAATAGTAATAGCCCTTCGCAAATTCTACTGTATTTCGGGGGAAAAATTGAATTTACTATATATAGTAATGATTTAATAGTTAAGATTTTTGATTTTATATATATATATATAATAAAAATAAGAGAGTTATGATTTTATCGATTGTCGAGATTTTATAATTATTGAATAGAATTTTAATATAGCCGACATTGGTTCCTGAAAAAGTAATGAATTATCAAATATGAATTTATCGGTCCGTTGGTGCGACATTTAACCATATTAATATTTCAATTCACACACCAAAACTGTATATTGCCGACCCATGCTTGTATCACTTGATTGGTTTTGTCAGTTTCATGCTAATTTGGGATTTAAAAGACCGTCTACCACCAGTATAAGTACTTATGACAGAATTTTGAACAGATCTTGTTATTTTAAACTTTTCAATGGCTTCGTTAGAACCACCTCCGCCATTCTCTGATAATTCTGAAGCAAACAACAACACTAATCACACTAATGATAATACTTCTCAGGTACTTTAAAAATTTAATTAAAACCATAAATTTAATTTAATTAATAAACTTTAGAAATAAAAAAAACTTTTTCCTAGAGCAGATATTATCTCGGAATGAGACAACAACAACAGAAACAGATGGGATGGAAGCACCTGCTTATTCATTTTATTCCTCAGCCACAGGTTCATGTTTTAAATTACAGACTATTGGTACAGTCATTCTAAACAAGAAAGTGAAATATTTATGTGGTGAAATCTTGGATGATAGATATTTCTTGTTGGGAGCAAACTCTGGCCTAGAATTTATTGACTTGACTTTACCATCTGAGCAACAAACACCAAAACAACTTATTGATCTCGTTCGTTTTAAACAATTGAAAATTATAAAGTCAAAGAACAATGGAACTTTATTGGCTTTAGCTGGAAAAAATAATCATGTTAGAAGTTATGATTTGAATAGTTTACGATCATTGATAAAAAGTAAAAAAAAATCCCAACAATTATTATCATTGTCATCTTCTTCTTCACTTGATTTGCCCATTAAAAATACAAGATCATCAAATAGTCAACATATTAGGTCAAAATCTATGGATTTAACTCTTGGACCAGAATTTTTGAATAATAATAGCAGTAGTGGCAGTAGTAGTAGCACTAATAATAATAGTTCAGTGAATTTTCCCTCTTCAAGTCTTGTGTCTGAGCCAACAAATCCTTTTTATTCTTCTTCTTCTAATATTACTTCAAATAATCGAAAATCATATCACCAGTTGCCTCAGAATGTTTCCAAGCCAAGTAAAAATCAATTACTCTCGAAAGAATATGAATTTCAAAAAAACTTACAATTTCAATGGGAATTGGATTACTTTAAACTTCCAAATACCAAAATGTCACTTTCATTTGTATCACGCAAGGGTGCCACAAATACTTATATTGCAGTATTAACAAAACTAAATATTCTTTTATTTCAAATAGATTTTATAAGTGATAATGGTAGTAATGATAATAATAATAGATCAGAATTTGTTCAGATTGGAAATTATTGGTTACCACAAACACCTAAATTTCTTCAAATTTCAATGTTCGAAGGTCAACTGAATTACATTTTTGCAATATTTCAAACAAAAATATATAAAATTAGAGTTGAAGATGCTCGTGTACTTGAAGTTTCAATAGATCCACAATTACGTTCATCTTCATCTTCATCTTCTTCATCACCATTATCAGCATCATCATCATCATTTCCCTCATTTCACTCATCATTATCACAATCAACATCAACATCTTCATCAACCAATAATAATAATAATAATAATAATAATAATAATAATAATAATAATAATAATAACAATAGTAATAGCAATAATGATGACAACCACAACAATTTCTCACTATCAATCAATCAAGAAACTCCATCATGGAAAACATTTACACCACTTCCATGGATACCACATCTTAATCCTGAAATGTTGTCCCACAATTTCACAGTTCCACCATCATACAACTCAATAATAAACGAAGATCCTTCAGCAATGCTAAATCCAGTACCTGTCATCTCATATACTCATAATGGTTATTATTATGCCAATGACAATAATAATGATGATGGTAATAATAATAATGATAACAACAATGGTGACAACAACAACAATAGTAATTTATCATTGCCTAATGATGCTAATCCATCTGATTATATTGGGCTTCCATCATTGTTTTTTGTGACATTTTATAAAAAATCCATGATAATAGATCATAAGGGCAGGCCTTATTCTACCATTATTTTTAATTGGACTTATCCACCATTACACATTGAATTTCTAAGACCGGCAAACCCAGGTGGGGAATCTTATGTGGTTGGATTTGGTAAAAATATGGTAGAAGTATTAAGTTTGAACTCAGGAAGACTTGTAGAAAACGTTATCAGAGGAATAGATGTTAAGTATTTAGCGAGAGGAAATCATAGTAAGACATTGATTTGGGGATGTTCTTTTGATAATAAAGATAATAAAGGCACAAAAAATGCCTGTTTCTATAAATTGGAAGGTCCAATGAACCAGTAATTAATTATTATTATTATTGGCGGGAATAATAATGTTTGTATTGTACAACTTTAGATCATTGAGGATGCATATTAAACAAATCATCCCCCCCCAAAAAAAAAATTAGATAACTTCCATAAAATGCATGAAAATTGTATTGTTTATATATATAATTTGTTTTTATATTTAACTATTTAATATTTATTGATTTGAAATAAAAAATAATTATTTGTTTGAAATTTGATCAACTAATTTTTTTAAATCTTTAAATAATTTCAATTTATCATCTTTTCTATATTGAGACACAATTGGGCTAGTGGAAGGAATTACAAATATTTTAGTAGATGTTTCATTTTTCCAATTCAACATTGAATCTTGTAAACCAAATTTAAATTTTGATTTTGAAGATGATAATAATGATGATGATGAATTATTTTTTATTTTTTTCCTTGTATGAATATTTTTATAATTATCATCATCGTCATAAACAGCAGCATCATGAACAACGGGTATAATAGGTTGATAAGAAAAAGAATCTAGTAGTGGTGTTGGATTCATCTCTGGATGTAGTAATAAAACCTTTTCAAAACTTTCAAATGCAACTTTACCAATAAAACAAGCAATTTTAGGTCTATATTTTTCTATTTTTTCCAATAATAAAGGAACAGCCATGCGTCTCTCTTTCTCGGAAAGATCCTTTTAATTAGTTAATTAATTGGATCGAAATAAAATATATAACGTTATCCTCCCTCAATATATAAGATAAATTATCATGCACACACACATATATATATATATATAAACACATACGGCCGATGAAGCAGTTTCTCTATCAACTAGATTAATAATTCCTAATTTGTATTTTTTTGGTAATTCCAATTCATCTTCACATCTAACCTTATTATCATTTGTTAATCCTATAAAAATTTAAAATTCAAAAAAATTAGATTTAAAAAAATTAGATTTAAAAAATTTAAATTAAATCATTACCACTTTCAATCAAACAAGGATAAAAATGATTATTTTTATTAGCAAAATGATGGTGCGCAGCTGCACTTTTATGCCCAGGGTTGATTCCTATAAATAATACTTTTTTTTGAATTTAAATTAATCAATTTATAACTTTGTAACATTCATTAATATGTAATGTAATTATAGAAATTACCATTTAAACCATAATCAATAATGTCCGGAACAACCTTAATCAATTCAAAATTATTATTGTTGCTATTATTATTATTACTATTAATAATATCATTACTGGATTCTTCAATAAAAGAAAATTTTGAAACAAAATTTTTAAATGTTTCAATATTTGGTCGTTCTTGCATGATTTTTAATTTTGTAAAATAAAATATTTTAATTGTGTTTCATGTAGATTCCTAAAATAGTAAAAAATCGAGTTTTTCTTGAAATCTGAAATATTCTTTCCACATAAATATTATAAATATTACATAGTTTGGATATTAATATGAATATTTTCTTTCATTTATCTTCATCATTCATTGCTATTTATTATCACTATCACAATTTTAATTTCGTCAGAAATATGTTTCATTAAACGATATTTTTATTTATTATATTTGTTTATATTTCTATTTTTATTTTAAAACTTCCCAATTTACTGAAATTTCTAATTTTAGTAAAGTTATTAATAACCTTTAAAAGATTCGAATTGATTATCATAAATTATTCGAAATTCATTGGATGAATTAAAATAAAATTCTTTTTTTAGTATTTTTTTTTTTTTTTTAAGTTGTTGTTACCCCTACAAGGATAATTCCAAACATGCATAATAATAATAATATTAACTATAACATTATTTTATTTTATATATTTATAATGCAAATCTTTCTTTTTTTTTTTTCTTTATAAAAAAAAAAAATTTAATAATAACCTTAGTTTCTTTCATCGTTTGGCCACGTTCGGCTGGTTCCATTAACAATATTATTAACAATATTAACAACTAAATATAAAGAAAAAAAAACATAAAGAATTAGAACTGGGACAAGTAGAGGAAGAGACTGTGTTATTAAACAACAACAGAAAGGATAATAATTTATTCTATAGATCGAAATTATAACGATTACATAAGGATATTATTATTATTATTATTTTTATTTTTTTGGAGACCTTTCCCAAAAAAATTTATTTATATAATATATAAATATACTTATATTATATAAAGAGATTAATAATATAATAATATCATCATCACAGCTGGCCTGTTTTAAAAACCAAAAAGAAAAATAATTTGCTCTTACAACAAAATAGCAACAACACAATAAAATTAATTATTTCATTTATTTATTTATAATATACAAAAAAAAAACCCCCCAATCTATTTTTTACGGTTTTTAGTTACATGACGAGTGCAGTGAAAAGATCGTATCCATTTGGTTCTAGACCAACATCATTAGTTGAAGATTCAAACCAATTCCAAGTGGCTCAAATACCTTCTTCACATAAAAAAAAGCCTATTACATCCCCAAATATTAGTGCACCTGTTGAAAATTACAATTATTCATCATCATCAACACCATCATCACGGAAGCACACTAAAACAATAGAAACACCAACAATGACAAAGAACGACATTAATAGTAATGGTAATGTTAATAATAGTGATATTGTTAATGGTAATGGTTGTATTAATATCGCCAGCAGTAATGGCGGAGATAAAAGTCCACTTCCAAGTCCTCCATCAGCGAAAGGTCGTAAAAATATGAAAAATTTACAATTGGTTGTTCCTCCTGTGAGATCTTCCATATCAGCTCCAAATTCTCCGCAACTACCACCAAACAATTCCACCTATTCTGCCTATTCTCACAACAGACGTCCTTCAACACCGTTATGCTTCTACCAAAATAAAGATGTTGCAAACTCTAATGCCGCAGATCCAATGGCTTTAATGTCAAAGACTGAAAATGCTATCGGTGAAGAGTTACCATACAAAGAAGAACCTATACGTATATTGGATAATTTATATCTTGGTTCTGAATTAAATGCTGCAAATCGTTCAATGTTAAACAGACTCAACATAGAATTTATTCTTAATGTGGGTAAAGAGGTAGAAAATCCTTACTTGGACGAAATAGTAAACTCTAACACAAACACAAGCGACACAACCACAAGTTATTTCGATTATCAACATTTTTCTTCTTCAATGTTACCAAATCCATCCACGCCTTCTGATGATAGTTTCAAAAGTGATATACAATCTCCTCTGCCACAATTTCATGAGCCTGCATCGTTTGTGCCCTCTCCAATCGATTTATTAAGATCCAATTCATTGAAAAAAAAGTCTGCAATTTCACAACGTTCATCATCGTCGTCGTCATCATCATCGTCATCATCACCATCATCTAGCTCTCCCTCAGCTCTTCTTCAATCGGCCCGGAGTGCAATGCTATCAGGAATTCCTTTAACAGTGCCTCCAACATCCAAACATAATAAACAAATAAAATATAAGAAATTCTTTTGGACTCATAATCAAGAAAATCTTATATCTGATTTCGACTCCGCGTTTGCTTTCATTAATGAGGCTCGTTCTGCTGGTAAAAGCATTCTGGTCCATTGTCAGTGTGGCGTTTCACGTTCCGCTTCCCTTATTATAGGTTATGTTATGGAAGCCAATAGTATGAATTTGAATCAAGCCTATGAATTTGTAAAAAATAGGAGTCCTTATATTAGTCCAAATATGAGTTTAGTATATCAATTGGTGGATTTTGAAAAAACTTTAAAATTAAACAACAACAATGAAAGCCACAACAATAGTAATCGCAATAGCATTAATAGTTCTTTGCCTAGCACACCGACTAAAAGTCAAGCTGAATCTATAAAATCACATTCTCGTCAATCGAGTATAGAAAGTGACTTGCTTCTGAAAAGTCATCGTCGTAGTAGCAGTATCCCAAGAACTCAAATCAATAACAATAGTAATCATACCACTAATAATGGTTATTTGGCATCACCGTTCAATATTACTGCCTCTACTACTCATAATATTATTAATGGCATTAGTATTAATATTAATGATTCTCCACCAAAAACTCCTTTAATTCCTCCTTCTGAAGGATTATTATCCATCCAGCCACATCAAGCCACGGTGAAAGGTAATGGTTCAGGGAGATTCCATGTTATTACAGCTTCTATGACACCTACAACTCCAACTGCATTATCGCCGGCTTCTTCCCTATCACCAACAAGCAGCACTTCACCTACTACGCCTTCAAATGAATTATCATCTCCTACTACCAATAATTCTAAATCAAATAGATCACCTCGTCCTTCACATTTACCTTCTACAAACTCGCCACCATCATCATTAACTTCATCACCGTCGCCGTCGTCATCATATTTATCAATGGATCGTAACCAACTTACTCCACACGAGGCATTCAGCCCAACATTTCCTCTCAACAGATCACCTTCCTTTACTGACCTTAGCTCAACTATTTCAAGCACTAACAATAATAATAATATTAATAGTAATAATCATTATAACAATAATAATAGTACTTTAACTACTACCACCACCTCCATGACTGCAACTTCTAATATCAATGATTCTTTTACAAATTATGATAATTTAAATATATCCCAATCAAATGTTTCCTTATTTTCATCATACCCAAAAACATCTCCAAGAATGATTAATAATAATAATAACAATATTGACAAAAACAATAACCGACAACAGCGTCATGTAAACAATAAAGATCATGAAATTTTATCGGGACCTTCATCAGGAATATTTAGTAAACCTATATTAGACGGTATTTTTTCACCAACAAGAACATCCCCACCAATTACACCTGTAACTATAACTAATTTTCATGATTTATTAGGAGATGATGTCAATAAAGATATTTATACAATTCAATAGATTGGGACTTATATGCAATTTACATGTTTTAAGATTATTATTATTATTTTTGCTATTATTTTTTTCAGGTAAAAAGAGACAATCAATTTCTTTGTAAAATTATTATTTTAATTTATTTTAATTTATATTATGATCTTTTTTCTTGTTTTTAACAATAAATTAATTGGCACATATAAACAAGACATTTGTCATCGTAGCTTTTCAAAAAACTTTGCATATATCATCATTTTTTTTCTTTGTAAAAAATATATAAATTTTTATTTTTTAGTTTTTTTAATTTTTCGTTGTAGAAACTTTTTTTCTTCACATTCCTTAATAATTTTTCTCGCAATAATCGCTATAATACTATTTTATTTCGTTTGCTTAATTTTTTAATAATAATTTCTCTAATTATTTTTTGAAAAAAAAATAAGAGTATAAATAAAAAACATTAATATTTTGATAATGAATCGTGTTTCCAACTATATTTATTCACTATGAAATATGATTGATTTATTTACTTTCTATTATATACACTAGCCAATTAATTAGTATTAAAGGGCCTCGCTGAGTAATATTCGTGTATTTCATTAATTTGTTTAAGGTTTAAGACGTTTCTCTTTTATTTTTATTCTTTTCTTCTAATTTCTTACGTTCTTCTTCCTCTAATTTCTTACGTTCTTCTTCCTCTTTCTTTCTTATTTCCTCCATGTATCTTTTATTGTCTCCTTTTTCTCTGTCACGCCCAAGATTTCCATGAGATCCTCTTCCATTATTCATAATTTAATTAATAAAGGTGTGAATGCTTTTTGTCCGATATAAATATTTGACAATTGGGAGTTGGACTAGGAAAATTTTTTTCTAAAAATATGTAACAAATGCTGAGGTGTCGATTTTCCCAATTATCTTCAATGCACTAATAATCTTGTGATTTGTGTGAATCATTCAAAACTCGCTAACCTTCTGTTAAAAAAAGAAAATTCTCTAGTAACCGTTTAAATGTGTTTTTCAATCTTGCGACCTGTTTGCTCGTTGATTGGAATTTTTGCTGACAAATGGTAAATTGCAAAGGCTTGCCAACGAAATTTTGTAACGAACTATTCGTCAAAATGATCTCAAATTAAAATGATCGTCGAATTGTGATATAAACGAATTTCATCATGCTACTAGCACAGCTAAAATCTGTTGACGGTGAAATCACCGGTCCACCACTAAGTTTGCCTGTAGACATTACCCCGGAACAACTTGAACTGTTGGTTAATCAATTATTGAACAATGTAATGATTTCATTTAAAACCCTCCATTTAAATATACTACGAATAAGTTCATTTTTTCTCTCTTTTTTTTCAAAATAAGGATGAACACCTTCCATATTCATTTTCTGTTGATGATAAAGAAATAACTACTACGTTATTTAACGACATCATTAAAGCTTTAAAAAGATCAACTGAAGACATATTAACTATCGTGTATCAACCACAAGCAATCTTTAAAGTTAGAGCTATCACCAGATGTACATCTACTCTAAGTGGTAATATAATTTACGCGCATTTTGCACATATACCTATGCCTGTGTGCTATTTTATTTGTGAGCGTTAAATAAGTACAAAGCGTCGTAATCATTAAAAAAATAGGACATACAGGCGCAATTTTATCAGTAAGTTTTAGCCCTGATGGTAATCAACTTGCAACAGGATCAGGTAATAAATTGATTGATTGATTGATTGATTGATTGATTACTGGATAGATCTTTGCTTTCTACACATCTCATTATGATGATTTATTGAATTAGGTGATAAAACTGTAAGAATTTGGGATCTTAATACGGAAACTCCTCATTTCACCTGTTCAGGTTTGTGATATTTGTCTATACACATATATGCGTGTTTTTGTACCTATCCATCCATCCGTCAATTCATCCAATAATCTATTTATAATTTAAGGTCATATGAATTGGGTACAATGCATTTCATGGTCTCCAAATGGCAAGATTTTGGCATCTGGAAGTTTGGATGAAACGGTACTTGTTATTTAAATATTATTATGATTACTATAATTTTAATAATTGGTAGTATTATAATTCTAATAATTATAATAACGATCATATAATACATGTATTTAGGTGAGACTGTGGGATCCATCAACTGGAAAATCCATAGGTGGCCCATTAACAGGCCATTCACAATGTATAACATGTTTGGTATGGGAACCTATTCATTTGTATGTGCGACATCTTAACATAACATATATTATAGATGGTAAATAAATAGTCATAATTACATTGATTGACTAATTTTTGTATATGCAATTGATTTTTATTGTATGTCTAGGAATCCAAAATGTAACAGGTTAGCTTCCTCATCTAAAGATGGTACAATTCGAGTTTGGGACACGGTAACTCGTCGTGTCTCCATTACAATGTCTCAACATACTAGTGCTGTCACTTGTATCAAATGGGGCGGTGAGGGACTATTGTATTCTTCTAGTCGTGATAAAACTATAAAAATCTGGGATACTACTCAAGTACGAATCATTACCATTATTTGAAATATTACTAGTAATGTTTTATTTATGTTTACTAATTTTCTATTAAAGGGAAAGCTTATAAGAACATTAGAAGGTCATGGTCATTGGGTAAATACTATAGCGTTAAATACAGATTTTGTATTAAGAACTGGTTTTTTTGATCATACTGGAAGAATTCCAGAAGATGAAAATCAAGGTGTGTTTATAAATATCTATATTTATTTATTTATGTACATATTGATAATAAATATTATTCTTATAAATAACAGCAAAAGAGTGGGCATTGGCACGATACCAGGCTGTAGTGAAAGGGGCAAAATCAGAAAAACTTGTCTCGGGGTCTGACGACTTTACAATGTTTCTCTGGGATCCGTCAATAAGTAAAAAACCTATTGAAAGAATAACAGGTCATCAAAAACTTGTTAATCATGTCACATTTTCACCTGATGGTCGACTATTTGCAAGTGCCAGTTTTGATAATTCTGTTAAACTTTGGGATGGAGTTACTGGAAAGTATGTATTGTTATTATATTACTATATTCAATTTTTTTAGTGAAAAATATATTTTTATTTTGTTTGTTTGTTCGTTGTTTGTTTAGATTTATTGCAACTTTAAGAGGTCATGTAGCTCCAGTATATCAAATATGTTGGTCATCTGATAGTCGCTTGTTGATAAGTGCTAGTAAAGATAGTACTTTGAAAATATGGGATATCAAAACAAAGAAAATAAAAGTTGATTTGCCCGGTCATTTGGACGAGGTTGAAATCTTTTATATATACACATATATATATAACAATGAACATAATAAACATGTATACTAAATATGTTAAAATATATAATTTGATTAGGTTTATGGTGTTGATTGGAGTCCAAATGGTGAAAAGGTTGCAAGTGGTGGTAAAGATCGTCAATTAAAGATGTAAGTTTTTGATTTATTTAGTTGTTTAAAAATTTTTTATCAATTAATTATTAAATGATTTATTTTTTTTTTTTAAAAAAAAAAAAAAACAAAAATGACGACAATAAAATAGATGGAGAAATTAATTAATAAATTGGTTAATATTAAAGCTTAATTCTTGTCTTTTTTGTTTTAAAAATGTTAATAAGTGTAACCATAAAATTTCAAACATCACCCACCACACCATAAAATAATAATAACAATAAACAGACAGAGAATTGTTGGTATTTATTTATATTATAATAAATATTTATTATTAACAAATCTCTATGTTACTATTTAATAAAATAAAAATAAATGATATTTATATTATAATAAATATTTATTATTAATAAATTTCTATAAAATTTAATAAAAATAATGATAATGATATATGATTATTAGAAAAAGAAAAAAAAAAAGAAAATTATAAATATATATTTATACATATAATATATATGTTGTAGCAAAATCGTCTAATTGAAGAGAGATTTTGATATTTAGTAGTACAATCATATTTCCAAAATATAATTGAATTAAAATCTCGTCAACAACATGTATATATGCATGTGTACGTGCGTGCGTATATATATATATAAATAAAGATAGGATCCATTATTGAACTATAAATCAATTAATAATCAATTAACTAATCAATCAATCAATCAATCAATCAATCAATCATAATAATTTATATTATTTACCTGTAATGGTAAGTAAAGCCTTTTCAGCAAAATATTTTACATCAGAATCAGAATCTTCTTTTAATCTATCCAAAGCTGGTTTTACTTGTGTTTCTAATAAAAGACCTGTTTCGGGGTTTTGTTTAAGCACTGGTATTAATACCTCATAAGATTTGGCTACATTAAATCTAATGTTAGGAATTGGATCTGATACAAGGTTATTCACTGTTGGAAGTATATGATCTCTGATGACTTCTGGTGTGACTGCAGGTGCCATTGTCTAAAAATCAATTAATAAGGTTAATTAATTGTAAAGCCAATTATTTATCCTCCTCCATACAAAATAGGAATTATTTACCGTGATAGCAAAGATTGTAGTCATTCTGTATAGATAATTTGAATTATTTCCAAATTCTAATACTTGTGGTATAATTGTATTTTTTGCCCAATCGACACCAAAAACCTCAGTCAACTTTTTCAAATTTACAGTTGCAGCCTCACGGATAGAATATACATTATCACCCAACCATGACATACAAAGATTTCCCAATTTTTCATTAAAGAAATCGACACCTAATTGACTAGCGAGTAATGGAATATAGTCAATAATAGCGAGGCGAACACGCCATTGTTTATCTTCAGCTAACTCTACTATTGCTGGAAGAAGATTTTGTGACAAAAGTTCAATCCCAATAACTTTTTTGTTTTTTTTTTGTTGTTTAATTGATAAGTGAAATTTTTTTATATTAATTGATATTGATATTTACATTAATATTGATGATAACTAATATAGTATTCATTATCTACCTTCATTCACTTGTTCTAATTTAGATATAATGTTAAGTCTAACTTCAGGAAATTCATCTTTAAGAAGTTGCAAAAAGAGAGGCAATAAATGCTCAGTTGTACTATATATAAATATATTATCATTATTATAGAAATATTATAATCAGAAAGATTTTGTTTATTTTTAATAAAATATTTTATAAATAAAGATTATTCCTACATACGATTCTTTTCCTAAGACTGGAGCCAATCCACTGACTTGTGTTGCTAAACTTGCACGAACATGTTGTGAAGTGTCAGTGACTAAATCTTTTACACATGGTATAATACGTGATAAAATTATTTGTTTGTCAACAAACTGTGCAAATCCTAAATAATAAATAATAAAATTAGAAATTAGAGATTATTGATTATTTGTTGCTATTACTATCATTACTGATTTAATTACATATATTTTAATTCGTTAATTCATTTATTCACCTGGAACTTGGCCAGAAGCCGCAGTTCTTACTTCTGCCTCATTATCTTTAAGCAAATTAACGAAAGCCATTACCAAATCATCTTGTGTTATTTCTTCACCGACGGCTTTTGCTATCTAAAAAAAAAAAATCAAAGTGTAAATGTGAATAAATGAATGAATAGAGCACATTCATATTATATATACACATGAAAGCACAACAAACCTTTACAAAATTTTCAGCAATCATATATCTAACTCTCCAACTTTTATCAGATGACATATTTCTCAATAATTGTAAAAGATATATTTTACTCTCTTCTTTGGTCAACAATCCAGCAATATCTACCAAATCTTCAACTGTCAATAGACGTACAGAATCTTGTTCATCTTGTGCAAGTTTATTGAAAAGTGGTATAATATCCGAAATAATTTGTTCTTTTGGCATCTCTTTTGCAAATTTCTATTATTATTGTGTTATGTTATGTTATTATAGTATTATGGTATTAATTTTTTCTTTCAAGAAAAAATAACTTACTCCTAGATTAGTAGCAGCAGCCCTTCTAACCATTGGCGTTTCATCTTGGGTTAATTGTCTGAACAAATCTCGCAGTTCATTTTGTGTGCTAGGAGTTGCATTCTTGTAAGCAGCGGCATATAAACCACAGGCACTTGTACGACTGGTAAACCAATCACCACCACTTAAACGTTTAATAAGTGGTATATAAAAATCTTCGATTTGTTTTTGAGAAAGAACCACCGCAACACTATTCAATGATTCGACAGCCTAAATTTACGAGAAAAAAAAAAGAATAATTTTCCATATTAATTAATTGCTTATTCATTGTTATTTTTCATTTTAATTATTAAAATTTACCTTTTCTCTAACAAGAGTCTCTTCAACTGTAGCCAGGTTTTCCAAAGGTCTGAGTATAAGATGCGCATATTCTTTACCCCCAACATAATCTATAAAGTTTCCAAGTTCTTCAGCCAATGCAAGAAGTACTTCGTCTTCATCGTCAATCGATTCTAAAATTCGATTTTTTTATTTATAAAAAAAAAATATGAAAAAAATACAATTGGAAATAACATATACATAGATGTTGACAAATCCAATAATATAAACTTTTTAATCGAAGATCTATTCTTATTCAACCTAATATTTGATATCGGTCACTCACCATCAAGAAAAGGTATAAGCTCCTCCCTTGTTCTTTGATGTCCTAGAGCCAAGGCAATTGTGGAAAGGCGTCTAATGGCATTCAATCTAACATTCACATCATCAGCTCTTAATTCGTCAAGCAATACAGCAATAGGGTACAAACTATCGTCATCTTGAATTTCGTTATTATTCATTATTACAATTATTATTAAATATTATTATTATTAAATATTATTTATTAAATATTTTTTTTATTATTAAATATAATTTATTATTATTAAATATAATTTAAAAAAAAAAGAAAATTAATTGAAAAAAAAAAATTTTTTTTGACTGGAATTATATCATAATAGTAACATAAAATAAAATTAACTATCTAAACTATCTGAATTATCCGCTATAGCAACAAATCTTAATCTAACATAATTTAAAATCCATTTATTTGTTTTTTCATCATACGATTCCTTTCTACATTCTTCTTCAACCTCTCTTTTTATTCTTTCAATCTCAATCTCAATTTGTGATAAACCTTCCGGCTGGTTGACATTATTGTATAAACCTTCGAAAAATTTAAAACCAAATGTTTCAATCCATCCAGCCAAATTTGTAGGTAGTTCGGTTGGTCTTTGAAAGATTGTCGAATATTTGATGGTGAACGAATGTCTGTTCAATAATTGTACATAGTCTTCCTTTGTTGGAAAATACCTTTTTTTTATAAAAAATGTTTAATCAAAAATTGAAAGTAGAAGTTTTGATTAATTAATTTATTTAATTTTCTTCTTACCAAGGTGAAAATTTTCTGCCATCAAAACCGCGTCTATCGAGCGCAGCAATTAAAGAATCTTCAACATCTTTTTTTAAAAAAAAAATTCATATACGCATACATGTTTTTTAGAAATTATAATTAATTAGATTATTTATTTATTTATTTTACATACTTTTTATGTTTTCGTAAGCTCCCATTTCTGCAACAAATCTCCCGCCTGGTTTTAAACATTTTCGAATTGCTTCGATTACTTTATTCTGATCCTTCATCCAATGCAATGCTACAAATAAATCAATTAACATTCATCCACAAAAGAATAAAAATACCCCCCCACAAACACACATAATATTAATAATACCAACCAGCATTTGAAAACACGGCGTCAAAATAACCATTAAACCCTTGTTCATCAATCCACTCGCTAAAATGTTTTTCCGCGTCAACAACTCTAACGTCTTTACATCTATTTATAACCCTTGCAGCACTAATCATTTTTTCACTTTGATCAATTCCAATGCATTGTTCACATTGTTCCTGAATTCGAAAGGTTAGCACACCATCACCACATCCAACATCTAAAATACGTTCGTGTGGTTGTGGTGATAATAACGTTGTCACGAGATCATGTTCAGATAATTTTGGAACAAAATTTGCATGACGGGTATAATTTTCTGGTGACCATGGGTCTTTCTTATCATTAGAAATATTATTGTAGGAAAATGACATTTTTTAATGTTGATTATATTAATTGGCGAGATGATTTCGTATTCATATTTATATTTACATTTATATAGAACATCACGTGTTTTGTGAATCATTATGATTATTTTATAAAAATTATGACTCAATTGATAAATTATTTAAGCAAAAAAGATTAGATTTTATTAGAAGAAAAAAAAGAAATTAGAATGTTTACATAATATATATATAATATATACATACATTTTTTTTTAGATTATTAATTATGCACAGTAATTATGATATTAAAAATTTTTTTAAAAAAAATTTGTTAATAACAATAATGAAAAAAAATAATGAAAAAAAAAATTACTAATTAATAATTATCATTAACATTATTAATGATTACATAAAGTACATGACCTTTTGCAATTCAGCCTTAACGGTGCCGTGTTGAGATGCACTAGCGGTAGATTCTTCGGATGCTTCAGTGTCGCTCCAATCAACGCCTCGACTATGGAATCTGGCACGACTGCATACTAAATGAGCATAATAAACTGGTGGAACAAGTGATACCGACCGTGTGCATCTTGCAAATACGTAACATAAATTGTATGATAAAGATTGAAGTGAATCAGGCGTGAAACGATTCTCATCGTATAAAACGTGATAATGTGTTGGTCGAGATGTTCCTTGTAAACCAGAATGACTTAATAGATAAAAATCAAATTGGAATGGATGAGTTATGACAGATTCTACAACTGTTCCGGGTAGACAATTTCCTGATCTGTCTGATTCTTTTTTATCCATAGGGAAAAACCTTGCGTGATGACGCTTTTGAACTACTACAAATGTAACAGTTGGTTTGTATTTCTCATCTAAAGATTTACATGCAGCTATAATTATAAAATAAATGAATGAACAAATAAAATGTGAATAAATAATGTATAAAATATCATGTAAAATAAAATATTAATTTAATCACATTAAAAATAAATCACCTTTGATTGCTTTAACTTCAAATTCCAATACTTGTTCAAATTGACCTTCAGATACACCATCACGATAAAATAAAATTCTATCTGGTTTTTTAGCACAAGTTTGGTAAAATGTTTTCAATAATTCCTTAACCATATTAGCCAAGTCTGATATCATTTCTTGTCTGCCTTGTTGAACACGAATAGATGCAGCATATCTTGAAGCTTTTGCATCCATAGAAGCACATAATGCAGCAATAGATGAACGACCAGTGGTACCTGGTGGAGGATGTGTTACATCAGCGCCCATCAATATTGTTGGACGTTGAGAAATGAATGGAATTTGGGTTGGAAGAATGTAAGAATTCATTCCACCAAGTTTAACATTCATCTTCAAACACACATTAGCACAATACTGTTTTTTAGCTTGCATCATATGTTTAGCTTGGACACATTGTGTTGAGACGCCAATCACAGTATCGCTAATACGTTTAATCTCAGCGTAAAGCGGCACGCCAGTATTAGGAAGTATGCAGACTAATAGTTGTGGTTGAGATTTGGCTTTATTGCCAGAACGAATCCAACCTTGTTTGACGCTTTCTTCGATATCGTTGTGAGGACTACGATGTAAGATTGGCGGGTCTTTATTTGGAATATTCATACCAGTGTCTTGACAAGTGGTGATCAATTCACGTACAAAATGTTGAACGGTTTGTAGAGGCATTTCTCTTTCATTTCCAAAGGCGATCACACCCCATGAACCAAGAACGGCACCTGTTGCAACTTTTTTATCCCTTAAATTCCATGAACCATCTCTTGGGGTAAATGATGCCTCACGCGAACTTTGGTGATACATTATAGTAGGAGTGGGTAGAACACGTGCTGGTGCTGTGGTCATATCAGTCGAAATCTGTAAATTGAACTGTTTCAAATATTCATTATTACGAAAATCAAGAATATCTAAACCGTTCTTAATTTTATTTGCACGAATATGTGGTGGTTGGCATGTAAATTTTATCATATCAGCAGTTTGTCTTTCATTAAGTTTACGCATATATCTTTGTCCCTAAAAATATAAAAATATAGAATATTTTAATAACATTATTATTGCCATCATTACATTTATAATAAATGTTTACTCTAAAATATTATACCGGAATAATTTCACAAACTTCCATAGGAAGATAATTTTCTTTTCTGACTACAACACAAGGAAGGAAAGGATATTGAAGACGTCTTTTATAGGTATCTTGAAAATATGTAGCCACATCTATAGATCTGCCGTTAGCATCAAATTTTGTTGAATTCGCAGGTGTAGGTGTAAGTTTAGAGATTCGGAAACGACGTTGTGAGACAGCATCACCACGATGAACAACACGAACTTTGAGATTTTTTAATGCTTTTTCAAGTCTGGTGCGTTCCTTATCTGAGATTCCTTTTCTAAGATCATCAGCGGACCTTCTACCCAAAATTTTGACAACAACTTGAACAAGATTACCGCTTTCATAGAAAGCTGTGGCACTAACATCAATATTGATCATCATCTTCTTAGGTGTAGGACGAGCTGATTGATAAAAACCTTGCCATACTTCGACTCCACCATAAAGTTGTTGAGAACCTGAAGGTGTATAAAATGATCTACCAACAGTCGCATGTTGCAACGATGGGCGATACCTTATCAACACATCAAGTGCCATAATACCTATAGAGAATAGAGAATAGAAAGAACAAAGAGAGCGTGTGTTATTATATATAATTGATGATTTGTTGTAGAAAATAAATAAAATATTAATATTAAAAATAACAAATATATATCATATTATATAATGATAATAATATGATATAATCAATCATCGTAATCAATGATTTAATAAATTAAATTTACCGGTCAGAACATTTGGTGATACTTGAGCCTTGCCGTTAAGAAAACGATGAAGTTCTTCCATATTAATTTCAGCAACTTTTTTAATTTTAACTTTGAAAGAACGAGGAGGACGTTTACTAGTAGTGACACCGTCGTCTTCAGGTAAGGTTACATCGAAAGTGGCAGCGTCACCGAAAGGAAGTGGCCTAGCAGTGTACATGTTTTTCCGACCGTCAAAAACAGGTTTTACCCCACCTAAACTAGCGCCACGCTGCATCTCTTCAAAAGTTTGAAAAACTCTTCGGTTCAAGGCAGGAGGAACGTCAGGTGTTATAGTAACGTCATAGTGGTGTATATTTGCTTCAGGGAGTGCAAGGACTTCAAAAAAGTTTGCACGAATTTTGAGTTGTCTTCCTTCTTTACCTAAGTTAGGTCTTCTTACAAAGTCAGTTAGTTGAAAACCTGTAGATTCCATTTTTGGTTATGAATATATGATATTTTCTTCTTTTTTTATTTTTTTTTCCTTGAAAAATTTAATGAAAATTGTTAGTAAGTGAAAGAAAAGATTAAACAAAAAAAAATCTTTTTTTTTTTTTTGAGTGTGTGGATATATTTGGCAATAATCGAATCGTACACAATTTACACTGCAAGTTTCTTTGTTATCATAATACAGTTATTCCGAATGTTCATCAAAAATTTCGTAATTATTTGGTAACTAATTGGTTCTATTAACACTTGTAGAGTAAATCATTCAGTAATTTTCTTTATTTTTTAAACTCTAATTTTAATTCAGATTGTTATTATTTTATTATTATATCATAATAATTTATAGTATATATATATATAGTATAGATTATTTATTTATACATATTAATTATTAACTGGATTTTTTTTTAAAAAGGAAATTGAATAAATGTTACACTTAAAATCCGTGTAACTTGCAAAAATAGAAAAATGAATATACATTTTTAAGTTGCGTCGATCATATGATAAAGATGTTATTATTTATTTATATAAATTTGGACGCGATTTGTTTTATATTTCTAAAAAATGAAATATCAATATGGTTATTTATATATTATCAATGAATTTTTGTTATAAACCCAAAAAAAATTTTATTTTAAATTCTCAACTTCCGTCCTTCCTTTTTCCTCTCAATTACATTCATCACATTTATTAAACATGAATAATAATAATAATAATAATAATTGCAGCCATAACAATAGTAATAATAACAGCAACAGCAACAGCAACAGCAACAGCAACAGCAACAGCAACAGCAACAGCAACAGCAACAGCAACAGCAACAGCAACAACGATAGCAACAATTCGAATGAAGAAGGTAATAATTTTAATTTAAATAAAAATATTGAAAAATAAATGTGTTGTTCGTCCAAATTTTAAGTATTAATATATTTAGGAGTAACCAGTGCAGCGGCTATCATTAAAGCAAACAACAACAACAATAGCGAGAGCAACCTGACTAAAATGCTCCAACAACTACAGCAGCAACAACCACCATCACAAATATTAAGACCTCCGCCAGGTTTGGTTCAAAAACATCAACCACTACATATAATACGACCATTATTAGTACCACCACCACCACAACCACAAGTACTACTACCACCACAACCACAAGCACCACCCCAGTTAGTACCGCCACTAGCACAAGCACCACGAGCACTACCTACAATACAACCACCCCTGGTACCATCAAATCAAAAACAATTGCTGCCCCCTGGTCTACAACCACCGCTAGGTTGTTGTGCAGTAGCTCTACAACAAAAACAATTATTAATACAAGAAATACAAGAACTACACAAACTACAGCTACAACTACAACTACAACTACAACAACTACAACAGCCACCAGCAATAATAATCGACCAGAGTAACGCCAACATAAATAACTCGGAATTAGATCTCGGTGACGACGAAAGCTTATCATTATTAGACAATCCACTTGGTCACATTAACGATTATGGGTCTAAAGCAGCACCGGCAGTAGATGATGTTTCCATATCGGTCGAAGAAGATTTATGGTTTCCAAATGCGACATCACCAATTTCCAGTGAAGTGACAAGAAAATACAACATCAAGAAGTTTTTTAGTCATATTTTCATGTTTGGACTATTAAATATCATACGTGGAATAACTTTTTGTAATCCAGTTTCCGGTGGAGTGACAAGAAAATACAATATCAAGAAGTTTTTTAGTCATATTTTCATGTTTGGACTATTAAATATCATATATGGAATAACTTTTGGTAATTATTAATCAAAATAGTCTGCTAAAATAAACAGTTTATTCGAGGGAATAGTCTATCAGAATAGTCAAGTATTAGCTTACTAATGTTTATGTTTATATTTCTAAAAAAAAAAACGAAAAACCAAATTAGGAGTAACATTATTTCCTCGTTATCATGTTCATCATCTTACAATAACTAACAATGATGATGATGGATTTGAAAGATATAAATTTATTGGTATATCGATGTATTTCATCAGGTAAGTTATATAATAGGTCGAGAAAGAATTTAATTTGAATTATTTTATTCATTTATTCATTTATTTATTGATCAAAATGATCTACGTCTTTGTCAATAAGTTGTATTGTTTCACAAGTCGCGTCAATTGGTAGCAGATCTCAAGGCGGAAATTACACAATGATAATGCAAAGTAAGTATATTTTAAGGGAAAAATTTTAATGAGATTAAAATTATTCATAATTTATTAAATAATCTTTTTTCTTTTTTCCAAATAATATAGCAATACCATTTTTGCATTTGATGTAAATAAGCAATGATTATTTTTTATGTATATTTTTATTTATTTACTCAAAGAAAGGAAAGAGTATACGACTTAATAATATGCTTTTTTGATTTATTTTATTTTTATATTTATTTCTTTGATTAAAAAAGGGCAGAAATAATTAGATACCATATTGCACCGGAACAAAATAAAACTATTCCAGTGGGAAAAATTGAAGAAGTGATTTACACAACAATCTTCGCTTATGGACTAAGTGCCACGCTAACTGGTATCGGACTTTTATTATTTGTAATATTCAAATCCAAGGTAATATATAGGATGTATCATTATACATTTATGTTGCATATATTACATATTATTAATATCTTATTTTAAAAAATTTTCTAGATTGGTTTCTTTTTGGAATTTTTTCCAAGACACATTTACATTGGAGCAACTGGCGGTGTTGGCTTTTACTTGATAATGTCTGCTATAATGGTTTCTTCACGAATTTACGGCCCATTTGGTGGCGTGACATTAAGAACAGTCTTCGATCCGAAAAAAATTTTATTATGGGGCTCGGCATTTTTTTTTGGATTCCTCTTGATCATAATCAAATATAAAGCCAAAAACAACCGTATTATGATGATCATCACTTTAATTCTTCTATCCTTGAACTTCTACATGATACATTTTTTCAGTTATGCTTGGGATCATTTGGCCGATGATTTGGCATTTTCTTTGCCAAAGAATCCAATCACTATTTTTGAATTCTACACTCAGTTCAGTAAGTATCAGTATACGAATACACTTATTTATTTACTTATTTATACGTATGTCTATGATATTAATGTATAAACAAATAAAATAAATTATATTAGATTTTGGATTGATTAATTGGGGAATAATAATAAGAACTATTCCTATAATGCTTGTTCTCGCATTCTTTACGATATTGAGTGTGCAAATAAACATTAGTAAATTGGAACTCTCGTTTGATGACAATCAACTAAACACAGATCGTGAATTGTTTGTTCAAGGATTTTCTAATTTAATTTCCGGACTTTTTGGAAATTTACAAGGTTAGAATAGAATAATTTTATGAATTTATTTATTATTAGTGAAAGTTATAAATTATAATTAATATTATAATTAATATCATCATCACAGTTTCTTTGGAATACAAAGACTCTAACACATCGATTAAACCAGGAGAAAAAGAAAATAATCGCGTTATTATAGGACTGATGCTTGCATTTTTGTCTGGTGTAATGGTAGTTATCGGGCCATATTTCATTAAATATATCCCTAGGATACTTGTGGGTGCAATAATCTTCTACGTAGGATTGGAGATGATATATGATGCATTGATAAAGTCGTGGAAATATGTCAATAGATCAGAATACATCAATATCATAGCCACAGTAATTGCAATGGTAATCATCGGACTTATCGAAGGAATATTTTTTGGAATCGTGATCTCTTATATATTTTTCATGGTATTAAATCATCAAAAAGGTGCTATTAAAGCATCGTTTTCGGGAAACTCAGCTAGATCTTCGGTTAGAAGGCATTACCGAGACCAAAAGTTTCTCAAAAAACTTGGTAGCCAAATCTATGCAATGATGTTACAAGGATATATGTTTTACGGATCAATGAAAGGAGTTGAAGATGTTATAAAGAAAGTTTTGATTGATCGTGAACAAAAAACCAAGCCAATTAGATTCTTTATTTTGAATATGCTTTGTGTCACTGGATTTGATATTAATTCTGTCCAGGTGCTTGAAAGAATTCAAAAGTATCTTCAACATCAAAATATATACCTTGTAATCTGTGGAATATCATATGAATCGCAAGTCCATAAACCATTAAAGAAGTTGTCATTTTGGAAAGACTTGACTAATAATGAGCATGTAAAATTTTTTGATGAATCTAACGAAGCATTAGAATGGTGCGAGAATTCACTGTTGGGAACTTATTATGCTAAACACAAATCATCACTCAATAATAATCAACTTGGTAATTAGAAATTAAAATGATTTAAAAATTAAAAATTATTTATTAATAATGATTTTTTTTGATATTATTAAAGTTGGAGTACAACATGAACCCATGCCATCTTTACTTAGCGCATCCAGTGGATCTTTTCGTAGTCGTCAATTTGAAGATGCCGGAAAGGGTGCATTTGAAAGTAAGTAGTAACTATTATTATATATATTTTAATAATTAATTTACACATATTATTCACTATTTCATTTCATTGTTTTTTTTAGATGAACTTCGTTTTAAAAGTAAAAACAGACTTGTAAATATTTTAATGAAAGCATTTAATGAAATTACCAATGAACAAGAAGAATTCTATAATTTGCTGTCTCAGTATTTTACAAAGGAAGAAGTACAACGAGATTCAACCTTGTGGGGGCCAGGATCGGACCCCAATTGTATATATGTGGTGGAAGAAGGACAGTTGACGATCACATGGACATCATGGACATCGGCAGACAACAAACCAAATATAATTGAGAGCATTTTACCACTTACCATGGTAGGCGAATTGGGATTTTTCACTGATAATCCACGACAAACAAATTTGGTGACGAAAATTCCATGTGTCCTATGGAAAATGGATCGGAATGCTTATTTGACTATGACGAGATGTAATCCCAATTTAGCAATCATTTTTATGAAACTGGCAGTGAAATTCTCTGTAGAAAGATTAAGCAATTTAAATCATTATCTCTTTTATTTATCATAACTGTATATGTAAGATCATGTATATCATTTGTAATAACCTTCTATAATTAATTATTTAATATGCTTATATAATAATATTTATTGTAGATAGATTGTATAATAATAAATAATAAACCTATATAGAAATTTAGTGACTGGTTACACCACGTAAATAAAAGTTAAAAAAATAAAAAAATTTATTATTTTATTTTTTTAAAACATGAAAAGATTACCACCAGAAACTTTAATTTTAATATTTGAAAATTTAAAAAATAATTATAAAACAGTTTATTCTTGCGCATTGGTTAATAGATTATGGAATGAAATTAATATACCAATATTATGGAGAAATCCATTCTATTCTAATGATAGCATAAAGGTATTAATAAATTGTTTATTGGCAGTAGCAAAAACAGTAGAATCATCTTCAGAGAAAGAGCAAAATCAAGGATTATTTATTAATGATAATGACGATCCCGAAATAGAATATTCATTCGAACTATTGAAGAAAGTGCCATTGTACAATTATGGGAAATATGCTACGGAATTAAGATTGACAGATAAAGTGTGTATAAGTAGATTGATAATTAAAGCAGACTATTATAAATGTGTCCATTTAAAAAAGATATTGACCAGATTTGTTCTGAATTATTCTAAAATTGAAAAGATTGACACATTCGACTTGGATAATAAATGGTTGCTTACTCATCCAAAATTCAATATTAATTTCCAGAATCTTTGCAAGTTGAGATGTGACTCGACTTACAATTCAAATTTTTTCAATAAGTTATCAGAAGTTTCCAGAAACATTCAAGTGTTAGAAATCTATTTCAAGAATAAAATGACTGACAATGAGGGACTAGCCAATTTGATCCAGTCACAGAAACAAATCAAGAGACTTCGATGTTTCTCACATAGAAACATTAATATTTCTAATAATATCAAAAAAGCAATTTTGAATTATCATTCAAATTCATTGATTGAATATTTTAGTTTTGGGTTTAATAATTTGGATTATTCGGTCATGGAATTCAATAATTTAAGGTCGTTGCATTTATATGATAAGAGTTCGGCAGTTTGTAGTAGAAATGTGACAAAGTATATTCAAAATATATTATTTCCAAATCTCGAGAAATTAATTATAAAGATTAGTTATCAGAATATCTTGTTAAATATTTCCAATTTTATTAAATTGAATGGGAAGAATCTTAAAACTTTAACAGTTGATGGATATCCAACTGATAGAAGACATTTGGGCGAACTTTTACAATCAGTTGCCAAAAATTGTAGAAATCTGAAATATTTATCAATTCTATATAACAACAACTTGGATAATGAATTGTTTCAAATATTCAATAATTGTAACAATTTGAAAATTGTCTCTTTGAAATCAATCAAAGATTTAATTTTAGACGCTGACAAAATATTTTCTATTCTAATTAAAACTTTACCAAAACACCTAGTCACAATCAAATTCACAAAGAAAATTTTGATTTCTGACAATTCATTATCATTATTAAATGATTTGTTGGAGAAGCATTGGAAATCCTCCAAACCTCTTTATATCAAATTCGGTGGTTACAATGACGAACCTTTAGAAAAAGAAAAATTATTTGATATTTTGATAAAATATCAGAATTTGGGTTTACTACAATTCAAGTTTTAATTTGAGGATAAAAAAATAGAATAGAATATATATATATATTTCCTTTTGTATAATAATAATATTCTTATAGGCATGATGCGATTGATTACATTATAAGATTAATTTGATGACAATTAATAAAAAAATATAGTGATTCTTTGTTCAGATATACGTTACTCAATGATGAACAATCGCGGGTAATAATATCGTAACCATTACTCTTAGCTTCAGTATACCATTTTTCTACAGTGGTGGATAGCGTTCTATTAATGTGTCGGTAAAGCTCCGAGCGGGTTAAATGTCAATCAGAATGTTTTAAAGGCAAACTCGAGACCGACCCGAAAATTTCGGATTGGTTTCGGATTAACAAGAGAATTTTGCGATTTAGATAAATTTTATTCACCTAATTAAATAAAAGTCGAAACAGTTATATTGGTTTAAAAGCCGCAATTGGTGTTGAGCGTGACGCAAAACACAATTCGTGATGCAAGAGATGTAAAACGCAATTCGTGACGCAAAACGTAATTCAAAGACAATTCGTGACGCAAGATGCTTGCATTTGAATACTGCCGTGGCTGACTGCTGTTTATAAATTTTGCTATTGATTCAGTAGACACTTGTGGATCTGGACCTCAATCTTTTGCACTGCAAAATGAAGTTCTTAGCAAATCACATATAATAGTAACAATCACAATTCTAGCTCTAAAATGACAATCAAAGTTTAATTTACCTTTTTGCCATTTGTACTGAATTTGCACTTTCAATCTCTATTCTAATTTTCTTTTGTTTGCCTTGATTTTTGGTTCCAAGAAAAAACCTTAGTTTTCTTCCATTCCTAGGAAAAAAAATTTTTTTTTAAAATATTAGATGATTTTTCAACAATCATATATAGATAGATGTAGGTTGTAGCGAATGAATAGTTTAACACCGAGCTGATAGTCCTCTAAATGTGCTGCAGTGGGCAAAGGATATGATAAACAACATCCTTATACTAATACTGTCTCTTGGAATTATACCGACATATCTAATATTGTGCACAATCTTATCAATACATCTAATGTTATATATGATTGTATCAACTCATGCCAAATACGATCCTATCCCGGTTAGTAGTGAATCTTTTCAGGAGCAATTAAAAAAAAGGCGAACTTAACTTTTAAATTGATAAAGAAGTAAATTATCAGAGGTAATCTCGAGTTCCTTTTTCATATAATTAACTATCTGCCAGAATCATCTAAGCACCATTTACCAAAGGAATCAAGTGACCACGATTCTGGTTGTTCCAAGTTTAAATAACTCTTCATTTAAACTGAGGAAATAAGATGTGCAATCTTGCTAACAGAAACAAGGAATATTATCTTGAGATAAAAAAATAAGAAAATTCAAATTTTGAATTGATTATTCAATGGACTTCTTAAGTCTGTTAGTTATGAAATTTAATGTAATAGATAATTTGCGCAGTGGCTGAACTTTTTATTGATTGTGTGTGTATATATAGATCCTTTAACTCCTCCAAATCATTAATATGCAAATTTCCCGATGGCGACAAAGTCACAATTTTTGATTAAAAAACTACAAGATTTGATAATTCAATCCTTCAAATATATACATTCTAGTCGAGCAATTAAAAATAACCCATTTTTTTAAATCATATAACTAGAGATGTTAATCAGTCCTATCTTCGGATTTAAGTCCTGGAAAAGTTCTGAAAAGTCCTTTTTTTTTTAACATATTATTATTTAAATTAAAAAAACATTATTTTATTATTATATATAAAATTTATAAGTTGATTAATTATTTGGCAAAATAAAAAATCAATATTATGACTATTTATTATTATTATTATTATATAATAAAAATTTATTATTTGCCTGTCAAACCCATCTCAAAAAACAAAATCAATGAATATGGTTACACAGGAACCTTTTGGGACTTTAAGCCCCAAATGGTAGGACTGGTCCTGAAAAGTCTGGTCCGGAATTTCTGTTGGTAACACACCGTGTGAAAAATTTTTTAATGGTATCAGTTATGGTGCATGGCACGCCATGCTGGACAAAAGTGTACATTTTTTATGGCATTGCGTGCATTAAAAATATTTTAATCCTGAAATGGTTTATTTTGTTCATCTGATTAACAATTTCATTCCAGGATCAGCAGGACCTTGATCAATCACAATTTATTATCAGATTAGATTAGATTTCCGTTTTGAGTATAGTGATATTAATAATATAATTTAGGGTTACCCGATCCATTCATTTTTTTGGATTACTATAACAATTATGGTTAATAATGTTAGAATAATATATTTAAATCATAAAACCCAAAAAAACAATACTTAAAATATCTTCCCATACAACAAAATTCATTCATAAACCATAATAATTTGTTATGGAGAATAGAACACCATTATTGAACACGGTCCAGAAACCTACTTCTTATCAAAGTATCATAGACGACGAAGTCGTTATTGAAAGCGAAAATTTGTCAACATGGCAATTAATTAAACTTACTATTTGTTTGACAGGGTTACAATTTACATGTAAGTTGTGAGAATTTCAAAAAATTTGATGGTTTTTTTGTTAATTTTTATCTGATCGAAAAAAATTTATTTATTTATAGGGACTGTGGAATTATCGTGAGTGTTATTTTTATTATCAGTATTTTTTATTTTAATTTTAAAAAAATGTAATGTAAATTTTTCGACAAATTATATAAAAACAATGATTTAATTTTAATCATTAATATTGATATGCATTATTATCATCAGATATGGCACGCCGTATCTTAAATCGTTAGGGCTATCACCTGAACTGGTCTCTTTAGTATGGTTGGCGGGACCTCTTTCAGGTCTAATCATACAACCTTTGGTAGGTGGATTGAGTGATAAAAGTACTTTTAGTATAGGTCGTAGGAGACCATATATTATAATTGGCGCATTCATGGTTTGTTTATCGATGGCTGGTATTGCTTATGCTAAAGAATGGGCCACTTTATTAGTTGGTGATCATAATGATAACTCACTCGTGGAAAATCGAGAAAAGGTATCATTATTTATCTTTACTATAAATAATCGCATTGATATTTAATTATTTAATTTATTATTATTCCTTTCACCTACCCCCCTAAAAAAAATTAAAGATATCAAGGTTTACAATATATATAGTAGTGATAGCATTTTATTGTTTGGATTTTTCTTTAAACGCAGTGCAAGCATCATGTCGAGCCTTGATATTGGATGTAGCACCGTTGTATCAACAAGAGATAGGAAACGCATGGGCAAGCAGAATGATGCATTTCGGTAATGTTATTGGATATTTTACTGGATTTTTAAATTTGCTGGATTTATTTCCTTTGTTAGGGAACAGTCAATTGAAAATATTATGTGTGATTGCTTGCACTGTTTTTATATTATCTATACTCATCACTTGTTTAAGTACAAGAGAAGTTGTCTACGAACCTATCGATGAAGACATGAAGTAAAAAAAATTTTTTTAAGTGTAGAATGTTTTTCTTAAATATGAAGTAATTTAATTAATTAATATTTAATTGTAGACCGTGGTATTATGTGATCATACATATATATCAAGCTTTTCGATACTTGCCTCTTCCGGTTCAAAGAGTCTGCAATGTACAGTTTTTTTCTTGGATGGGATGGTTTCCATTTCTATTTTTTAGGTATTGTTGTAATTGTTAATTTATTCAATTTATAAGTTATTGCTATTATTTAATATTAAACATCAATCGACTTATTGACTTATTAGTACAACGTGGATTGCAGAAATCTATTTACATTGGTATCCCAACGATCCGGATTTCCTCGTTAATGCGGCTCGGGCAGGTTCATTTGGTCTACTAATGTACTCTTTTGTATCAGTTGCTGCTGCCATGATTCTTCCTCACCTAACACCAACATCTCATTCAAGTCCTAATAACCCATTCACCCTCTATAACATCTATACCAGTTCATTGGCCTTGTTTAGTATCCTGATGATGTGCACATATTTTGTAAGAACTGTGACAGAATCAATCATTTTGATTGCTTTTGTTGGTATTCCTTGGTCTGTTACCATGTGGGTGCCATTTACGCTAGTTGGTGAATATGTTCGATTAGAACATGAGTTACAACTTCAACAAAAACTTAGACTATCAATCTCCTCATCGTCGTCATCATCACCACCGCCATCACCAAATACTGATAACGATATTGTTGTTATTGGTGCAAAAGATGTTAATAATAATAATAACAAAAGGGAAAGGACAAGAAGCGATAATATTAGTATTAAACCTAGAATTAACCAAGATCTTGAAAGTAGCAAAGAAAGAAAAATCTTTTCAAAATTAATTCCACCACCACCACCGTCACCATCATCACCATCGTCATCATCACCCTTACCATCGATCAATGTTAACAATGCAATGGTTGTAGAAAATGAGGGTGATTACAATGATGACCATGTTGACAGTAGAAAAAATGACAATATTAATAATGATGAAAATAGTGTTGGAGGAATCGAGGGTGGTATTGATTCTGGAATTATATTGGGAGTACATAATATTTATGTTGTAGCACCACAATTCATTGTTTCATTGATAAGCGCATGTATATTTTCATTATTAAGAAAAATTAATAATCATAATTATGATCACGGTGGTGGCGCAAATGAAATGAGTGATGATGGAACTGGGTGGGTGTTGAGATTTGGTGGATTGATGTCTTTGGTTGCTGCAGTTTTATCAAGATATTTAATTGATTTGCAAGTTTATCGTACGTAATTCATAGTAATTTTTTATCACGCAAAATGTTTTTTTAATCACACGATATTTATTTTGGTGCAAAAAAATTATGTATACAATATTTAATTATATATAAAAAATATATTGAAAAAAAATCAGGAGATTTTTTTAAAATTTCACGTGATTTTAATATGAATTCATTAAAAAACAAGAATCATCAAATGTCAAAATGTTGAATATTGAATGCAGTGTTCGAATTTGACTGCGCCTTAACATAAAACTAGAAATTATCTGTAATGAATTTCCATATTTGGTTAAAGTATGCAGATTCCGTCGAACACTGATCGAATGACCCCTTTTTTTTCCTTTTGGAGTCCCAAATAAAGTTAAAGATCATCAGACTTACTAAACTTATCTTTTTTTTAAGTTATTTAATATAAATAAATCATTTTTATTTTTTCGAAAAATTTTTGGGAAAATTTCATCTTTGTAAATTCCAATAATCCGACGAACGCAAACATATATTTTATATATTTATTGCTTAATCAAGAGGAAAGTCGAGAAAATAATTTTCAACTAGAATATAATAAATATGCCACATCGAGATATTGATAAACCTATATTATTTGAAATTGCATGGGAGGTCGCAAACAAAGGTATATAAATAACAATTATATTATTATAAGATTGAATAATAATAAAAACATAAAATTTAATAATTAAAAATTAGAAAATTATACGCGTTCACATACATACATACATACATACATACATACATACATATATACATACATACATACGTACGCATACACGCCCACACAATATAAAATTTTACGAATTAATAATTAATTCAACTTTCAAACATCAAATAACCAAAAAGTTGGCGGTATTTACACAGTTTTAAAGACAAAAGTACCAGTTACAGTTCACGAATTTGGCGATAGGTACACATTGATTGGTCCATTGGTACACAAATATGCTGCTACCGAAATAGAATCAGAACCAGTAACTAATCCTTATTTCAAAGAAATCCTTGATGAAATGACAAGACAAAACGTTAAATGGGTGTATGGTCGTTGGTTGACTGAAGGCGCTCCTCAAGTATTACTTTTGGATATAAATTCTGTTAGGGATAGGCTTGATTCATGGAAAACTGATTTATGGAATTTTACCGGAATCCCTTCTCCGCCAAATGATCCAGAAACCAACGATGCAATTCTATTTGGTTACCTGATTGGTTGGTTTCTAGGCGATGTAAGTTCCATTTTAATCAACGAGATGCATTTATATTATATATATTTTATTTATTTATCATATATCTATATCTATATATCCATATATAGTATGTAGTACGCGAAAGATCCAAAGCTATCATCGCACACTTTCATGAATGGTTAGCGGGAGTTGCCGTAGCCTTATTTCGTAAACGAAAAACCGATTTAACAACAATTTTTACCACACATGCAACCTTATTAGGCCGTTATCTGTGTGCTGGTTCCGTTGATTTCTATAATAATATTCAAAATTTTCGCGTGGATGAAGAGGCAGGAAAACGTGGAATCTATCATCGTTATTGTATTGAACGTGCCGCATCTCATTGTGCCGATGTTTTCACCACTGTTAGTCAGATTACTGCTTACGAAGCCGAACATTTATTAAAAAGAAGACCAGGTAATTAATTATAGCGACCATCATCATTACGATGATTCTGCATAATGAAATAAAAATAAAAAAGTACAATATTTTAATTATTTTATTTTTATAATAGATGGAGTTCTTCCAAATGGTTTAAATGTAGTAAAATTTTCTGCTATGCACGAATTTCAAAATTTACATGCAATGAATAAAGAAAAAATACATGATTTTGTTAGAGGACATTTTCATGGCCATTATGATTTTGATTTAGATAACACACTTTACTTTTTCACTGCTGGTCGTTATGAATATAGAAATAAAGGTGTAGATATGTTTATTGAATCATTAGCTCGTAAGTCTCATAATTTTAATTATAATATAATAAAAGATTTTTAACGATTAATAAAAATTTAAAAAAATATTTATTATTAGGTCTTAATGCTCGTTTAAAATCATGTAACTCGCCAATGACTGTTGTAGCATTTATAATCATGCCTGCTGCAACTCATTCAATTGCAGTTGAATCTTTGAAGGGTCAAGCTGTTACAAAACAGTTAAAAGAGACTGTGAAAGATATCACTGAAAAAATTGGCCAAAGAATATTTGAAAAGGCTGCTAGATATGCAGGGTAAACATAACATACATTAGTTATTAATCAATTATCATGATTAATATTTTAAAATATTAACATTTTCATACGTCAATATTAACATTGATATTAATATTTATAGAGGTGATATTAATGATTCATTGATTGATCCCAAAGAGTTGCTAACCAATGAAGAAAAGGTGCTTTTGAAACGACGTGTAATTGCTCTCAGACGTAGTACACTTCCACCAATAGTGACACATAATATGACAGACGATGCTAATGACCCAATTTTGAATCAACTCCGACAAGTTCAACTATTTAACAATTCATCAGATCGTGTCAAAGTGGTATTCCACCCAGAATTTGTAAATTCAAACAGTCCGTTAATTGGGCTTGACTATGAAGATTTTGTACGTGGTTGTCATATGGGTGTATTTCCAAGTTATTATGAACCGTGGGGTTACACTCCAGCAGAATGTACAGTAATGGGAGTGCCCTCCATTACAACAAATTTATCAGGATTTGGTTGCTTCATGGATGAGACGCTTGAGAATTCGATAGATTATGGTATTTATATTGTAGATCGTCGGATGAAATCTGTCGAGGAATCGGTACAACAATTGGCAGACTACATGCTACAATTTTGTCAGAAAACAAGGCGTCAACGTATCAATCAACGCAATCGGACAGAAAGATTGTCAGATGTATTGGATTGGGATTTGATGGGTATGGAGTATGTGAAAGCCAGAAAATTGGCATTGTATCGTGCTTATCCTGAATCATTCAATGAAAAGGACTCAATAATAATAGGTGATGGTGATTCAGATCAAAACAAATACAAAATTCCAAGACCATTATCAGCACCGGTGTCACCAAGAATTCGTAGTAGTAGCATTAGTAGCGTCAGTAGTGTTTCTAGTAGTATTAGCGGTGGGCTTGGTGACATTGGTAGTTACTCAAATAATGTCGATGACGTTACAGATGGAATACAAACTTTAGGATTTAAAATGTTGGGATCAACCAATGATAGTTATGACGACATTGATGAGATTCATCCAATTCCATTAATAATAAGACGTGGTAGTACTAGTAGTGATATTTCGCTCATTGGAAAATTTTAAATTAATTATTTATTTTAAATAAATTTAAACAAAAAAAAATTTTTTTTGTTAATCATCAATTGCTTTTTTAGATTTTTCGTTATTATGACTGTCTTTTGGTGAATCATTATTGTTATTATGTTCTTGTTGTGATTGTGCTGTTGGTATCTGTTGTGATGATGATAGTGATGACGATGACAACGACGATGATAATGATGAAGGTATTATAGTTGTGGTTGATGTTGTTGGTAGTGATAAAATATTAGGTGATGATAATAATGGTGGTGGTATTTGAGGTGGTGGTGGTGGTAGTGATGATGATGATGATGATGATGATGATGATGATGATGTGATTGATTGAGTGGTGGATACAGGTGAGGAAAGTGTGTAGGAGGGATCTTCTTTGCAAAATAATTTTAAACGAAATGCATCTACACCATTAAGATAGTATCTATAAAGACGTTTATCTCTAATAAATCCTAAATTATGATATAGTGACAATGCACCAATATTTGTATATTCTGTCTCAAGTACAATCTTTCAAAATAAATTATTATTGATTAATTGGTCAATAGTATTCATTGATTGATTATTATTAGATTTCGATTCATAAAAATGGTTTGATATTTCATACCTCATCAGCGTTTTGTTTTTTCATCGCATTGATCGCAACTCTAACTAAGGTAGTTCCTATTTCAATGTATAAACAATATGTATGTATATAATATATATATTAATATAATTTACACATAAATTTGCATTTTGAATAAGTATCATTATTTCTCAAATAAAAGTACAAACCAATTTTTCTTTTTCGATATTCTCTACTCACTGCCAACATTGCAATATAGCCTCGTAAAGCATTGTTCTTATGACGATCTAATTTACAAATTATCACTCCAATACATTGATCTTTTTCATCATCCATTGCCTTTAGAAGTAATAAAATATTTAATAATCATTTATATTTATTTATACTCGTAAACACATACCATAAAACATAAATTAGGCCAATTATGTATGAAGTATCTATAAGTGTAGATTGAGTATGGTTCTGATAAATCATTTTCTATTAACTTCATAATTCCTGGAAGTTGTAATTCTGACGAGTATGGAATATACTTGATCGTATTATCACTATTATTATTGTTTGTTGACATTTGTTGTTTATAACGTTGATCGAGTGACTTTTACCAACAACTCTTTATTTTTTAGCTTAAAGATGGTTACATTCCTACCCAATCAAAATAAAGAACGGGATCAGTTAGTGTAACCTGGGTGGTGTGAGTAAGATCATACATGATAATGATGGCGAGATAGTTTTGTTTCGACAATAATTTCGACATTTCGAAAATATCTTGATATTAATATTAACAGACAGATTTCGAAAAATCTAAAATATAAAATGAAATAAATGCGTTTTTATTTTAAAAGCCCAAATACAAATCTCAAAGTCTGATCGGATACTTTTTGGATAGGTAAATTGATATTAGTTAATGAAACATTCTCATTTAGTAATAAACTGATCGCCTTACTCTATTTTCAATTGGTATGTTATATAGCGAATACCTGGTTGGACTTTATATGATCATTTAAAATCATCAGTATTCTGGCTAGGATTAGCTTACCATGCGTCATATATATGTCCGATTGCCTTTTATTTGAATGCGAGTTCATTTTTATTTTATTTCTAATTTAGAATATTTGCAAATTGATTTACTTTCAAATGATAATGATAACCCAATGTGAAATGATTTTAAAATTTAAAATAATCAAATCCTATTAATGTTCACCTCTCTTTTGCCTCTTCTGAATCATCTTTTTCTTCTCCTTCAGAGCTCTCTTTGGAGCTGTCTGATTGCGAAACTTCTGGTGAATAATAAAGAGAAATATTCAATTGTTTATTTTGTTGAAGTTTCAAATTATGCCTGCAGCGCTAGATTCTGCTGGAGTTTCTACTCTTCGCATTTGGTCAATGGTTAATTGTGTTGTTTTTGCAATCGTTGCGTTTTAATTAAACTAATACCAACAAGTATATTCGTTGTTAAAAATGTTACCATGATTTTTTTTTTGTTGGTTTTGCCTTCATTGATATCTGAACTAACAGAAGTTTGTGAGCGGAAGGAATGGGTGACCTTATTATTTGTAATTACTTTCTTAATATCAACATACATTTCCCGACTTTTACTTCTTTCTCCTGGACCATGTCGGTTTTATATGAATTATTTGCAGGGTTTTTTGCCTTGTTTTTTTAATAATTTTATTCTAAAGTTATTTAAATAATAGCCAATATTATAATAATAATTAAAAATATCTAAAATGAATAAGTTACAAAAAAGAAGCTAGCTGACAGTCCCTAAAAGTTTATCACTTAAAAAGAAAGAAAACTAGGCGATTTATTTTATGAAGCTCGCGTGAGATTTTGTATCCAAAACACCCCACCCCAAAAAATTTTAATTAATAAATTTCAACGTCTTTTTACTTTCACTGTTTCCATATTAAGTCAAGCATCAATGAATGATTAAAAAAAGTATCTTTGTTGTTAATATTTGCAACTTTTAATATAGGCAGTGGCTGTTGTGTTTTCAGGATTACATTAGTTAAAAGAGAAATTGAAAAGATTCGTTAATAGTGTAGTGCCATTATTATTACAATTTTTATTAATGTAATTCAAAATTAGATTGGACCTTGTGCATAAATTCTATTTAGGAAAGATTTTATTTTTGATTTTCTTTTAAAAATTATAAATCTACCTATCGGAGAAAATTATTTTTTCTTGCCTTATTTAGACATTGTTTCTTCATATTGATCATTATAGGAAAAAAAAATTCTTTACAAAGTGATTTTTTATCCGAATGAATCAAAATAAAGTTCGTTTACTGTATAATAGTTATACAAATTGGTCCAATAAAATAACAAATGCACAAAGTCCAAACTAATTTGAATTAAATTATCAACAAAATAATATGGAAATAAAAGAATTATATTCTATTTGGAAACGTGTACCTTCAGAATTGACGACACTTCTTTTACTTGTCCAAAAAATAAATAAAATTCTATTTTTTTGATCAAAAATTTTTCTATAAACCTACCCGTTTCTTTTATTCGGACTGGTTCCTAAAAAATAATTAAAACTCATAATTGATCATTTTCTCAATTCCAACAAATAATATTTTATTTTTTGTTCCCCAAGTATTATTATTTTACGTAGACAAAGTGAATAACGATTATATAGCCTTTTTTATTCATAAAGTTTGCTTGCTTGCATAATAGTTATGTGAAATTGAAACATATAATTAAATTTTGGGGTGGGTATTTTGGATATGAGATTCTGGTTGGCTAATTTTTGAATTTCACGTAGGTGAATTGCAGTTACATAAGTCCAAAAAAGAAATAATTTTTTTATTTCAGTTATTAATATATACTAATTAATATTTAATTAATATTTATTGATTGGTCGAATTACAAATACACTGTCTATAAATATTAATAAAATAAGCCTACGAGAGAAACTTATCCTATTATTCGATATGAACCAAGGATTTCTATTCAACCAAAGCAAGCAAGTGAAAGCAAGTTTCTTGACATTACTTTCATTCATTCCACTTACGGATGCATCAATTGTCAACGAAAATTATAAATCTGAAGATGATGTGTATGATGCAATTCTCAACACACTCTTTCCAGTATTTTTTGTGATTCTGTTCAATGTTTCAGGGAAAACTGGACCAATAAAAAATGTGCTGTTGCCATTATTGGATGATTTATTATACAACATTGTCACTTGGGTGATTCCGCTGGTAGTTTCTTTTGCCTATGATGATTTGCAGAGTATCAAGATATTTTCATTTGTAAACATGGCTTTGCATGTAACTTGCGCGGTAGACGCGATAATTAAGAATGATAGAGTTAAAAATATTCATAGGTATCTACCTACTTTTTTGGGATTTTCCGGGTGTTTCTTGCTATTTTTTCCAGCTATAATCATTCCAACATTCTGGATTGTTATTATTACAACTAGAAATCTCTTTGATCCAATTAGTATAATATTCCTTACATTATTTGGGGTATTGTTGGCTACAATATTCATTCCTTTTATAATAATTGATTTTATAGGGCGTTGTGGCTCAGAGAGATCGGATATGATAATTGAACGGATTGTTTCTGTTATATTATTTCCTGGATTGTTTTATCTCCCGAATATCCTGCAAACATTATTTATTGTGTTAAAATGGCCAATCGATTTTTACTTTGTCAAAGCATGCGTGTTTATACTGGTTCTTTCTTTAACAAGAAACATGTCTTTCTTTACAGAGAAGGAACCAGCACCTGGTGACTTTCTGGTTACTTCAACAACAATGACTCAATGTTGGCTGCGCAAAACAATAGAGAAGGGTGGTGAAAGTGAAAGTCAAGAAGATAGAATTATTAACGAGATGGAAAAAACAATGGCCGAAATAAAAAGATCAATAATGATTGAAATGAAAGAATCAATGGCCGAAATGAACAAGTCAATGGCTGAAAGAATGGATAAAATGGAAAAATCAAGGCATATAATGGGTGAAAAAGATAAACCACAACAATAATTTGATTATTGTGCTGGGTGACTTTGTCACTAACAATATATTTTATTTATTATATTACATCATCATATATTAAAAATAAAGAGATATTTTTATTTAATAAAAATATAACTTAACCATATTCTCGATATAAATGTACGTATCTATAAATAAAATTCCCACAGTATGTATATTTGTAATCTCCAGCCAGAATTCGAAACACTGGCTGGTTACTTGTGCGCATGTTATCAGAATTTATTGTATGTTATTATTATTATTATTTATAATCTACATGCACGATTACAGTGCAATTTATAAAGCTATGATGATGTCCAGGGGACAGTATGTTGGTGTGGGTAGCTTTCTTTAGTTGGTAGGATGATTGCTCTGTCTTTTTTTTTTGAAGATAAACTTTCACTGTTTGCCCTATTAAGTCAAGCATCATTGAGTTACAAACTC